GATAGGTAAAAACCTATGTAGGTCTTAATGTAGGTCTTTGTTACGGTCTCTAAGAAAATTGATTGGAGCTTTTCCTACCTTCTTGTGTGAAAAACTGAGTCCTTGTCTACAGACTTAGTAGCCCATTGGTGAAGATTAAAGATAAAAATAGTAAAACCATGCACACCGGCAAACGTCAAACCACTGTCCGTTTACGGCCGTGTTTCCGACAGTAAATGCTGGAGTTAAAGCTAGTTTCACTAGCTTTTGAAATGAAACCTGGGAAGCATAAAACTTACAGAATAAAATCTGTTACATAAAACAGATACACTTCAGGTCCCTGTTAAGGCCGGTTAAAGAGGAGGGGGAAATGGAAGGGGAGAGGAGGAAGACAGCAAAGGGGTGTGCAGGGGACTCTGGGTCGGGACGGCCCCCGCCATTACGACTAGTGCGATCCCGAGTCATTACCTATCGTGACTCCTCTTAGAAATGTCGATTAGCTGGCAGTCACTGTTCTGTGATCACCGCTCCAGTTCTTAAGCCATTTTCAATAACATTATCAGAGTAGCCTGGCGGCAGCACCGGCCCCTGAGATCCAGCAGCGTCTCCCTGGGAGGTAATACCCAGCAGAGGTCCCGGAGCCCTGGGCCGAGGGCTCTCTGCCTTGATCCACGATGACACTTTTTTCTTTTTCTTACTTTAGCACATTTTAAAACTTGATGTTTACCTTAATTTCATACGTGTGTCTGGTTTAACAGTAAACAATACACCAAGCTTGTAAGAAAAGCACCGTGCACCCCCTGCAGGCCCAGGCGCCACTGCCCAGAGACGTCCGCTTTCAGCTGCCCAGGCGATCTCTTCACGTGTTTGGCTCCACGTGTCCACACAACGTGCTTACGCTACTGTCCCTGATTTTTTCAGTTTCAGTCTTCTGATGGCTCTGACTTCAGAAGGTGGGAACTCCGCTTTTGTACCACACTCTTTTCCTCTCCTCAAGGTAGTTACAGTGAGATTGGTTATGGTCAGTAGCTAGGATTTAAATGAAGTCGATAGGGGATTTTAATTACATTACCTTATAAAAATGTTCCCCACACCCCCGGAGTTAAAAGGGGTTGTTTCTTTATATTTACTTGGCTTTTTCAGTGTCTCTGTCAGTAATTAGTCTTCAGTTTCAGCCATGGAACCCCTTTCAGACATGTGGGGACCGGGCAGCTCACGTTCGGCCCTGGGGCTTCCCCGGGGAGCCCGTGCGGCGTGGGGCCGGGCTGCCCCTCGGCCTCTCTCCTGCCTTCCCGCCTCTCCCGCGCAGGATTCCAAGTCTAACTCGCCCTTTACTCCATTTTTGCGGAACAAACTTTTCCTTCTGTCTAAGAGTGAAGGCTGTATCTTTGGAGATACGGCACACCTGCAACTGTTTTCGTTCTGTCCCCGCACTTGTGTGCGAGTGTGGCTGTGTGCAGGATTCTGAATTAGAAATTGTTATCCTCCAGATATTGACTAGGCCGATAGTGTGACTGTTGAATATTTCAGTGCTTCTTACTGTTGTTGTTTTTTCCTTCTCTTTGATTACAGTTGTGCCAGAAGCTTTTATTATTGTTTCATTTAGTCCTCAAGATTGAGCACCATGCCCACCCCCAGAATTTCCTATGTGCCTTCATTTTCTTTATAGCGTTTCCCACCTGCTGAAATCACTGAGCTACTTCCTAGCATGTTGCTTGTCTTTCCTATTAGAATATAAGCTTTGTGATCCAGGGACTTTGTACCACTAGTACCTAGAACAAGGCCTGCCATGGGGTTGACCCTTGTAACTTGGCCAGCATTACGTAGCCAGCAATAGCAAAGTCAGGATTAGAACCTCTGTATTTTTTACCGCAAGTCTTGAAGCCTTTTCATTGTATTGAGTTGGCCAAAAAATTTGTTTGGTATTTTCTGTAAGATGGCTATAGTAGCGCTTAGCTGTCATTAACCTCATGTGAAACAGTTTTGTTAGATTGTATTGTGACAGCTGTCATATCCCTGTACATTTTTTAAAAAACTTAACCAAATTGGTCAATTTTTGTGTAGTCATTTTAATATCGAAGATGGAAGAAAATACACATTTTTGGCATATTATGCTTTATTATTTCAAGAAAGTCAAAAATGCAACTGAAGTGCATAAAAAGATTTGTGAGGTGTGCGGAGAAGGCGTGGGACTAAGCGGACGTGACAGACGTGGTTTGTGAAGTTCCGAGCTGGAGATTGCTCGCTGGACCAGTCAAATCAAGACAGTAATTGAGAGCAGTGTTCTCCCACACAGGAGACAGCCAACATACTCAGAATATCCAAATCAGTTAAGTTACTGGTGAAAATGAAAATGTGCCTTTTATTTTAGTGAGAAAACTAAATGAACTTTTTGGCCAACCCAATAACTACTACTGATGCAGTGCTGTTATAATTTGGCAGTCTTTGGTTCAAACTAAATATAATAGTTCAAATATAATGATCATCTCATATAAACAAGGGTTATGTGTGTGTTGATGGCGATCAAGGATGGTTGCTCGGGCTTACTGGGACTAGAACCAGTCGGTGGTAGTTGACTGAATGCTAAAGCAGCATTGGTAATGGACTGATCCTTCTCAGTGTTACAGTCATTTTAAAAACAAGGTAGCAGAGGAGAGATTGTTTGTTATTCATTTGAACTTTATGAAAAGTACTCACAGAGTTTCCTGGCGTGTGAGAGGAGGAACAGAATGCTCCGCAGTAGCAACCACCGTTGCCTGAAACCTTTCCACGTGCCGAAGCTCTCTCGCTAGGTGGGACGCGTCCCGCCCCCGGGCACTTTCCGGCACAGGCAGGACTAGGGGTGTGGCGGGGACCTGGAAGAGTGAGGCTTAGCAAAATGCTGTCTGATTTAGAGACAGCAGTTTTTTCAAAAGCTATTATAAAGAAGCCTTGTTTTCAGGTCTGCTTTTTAATATTTTTTTTCCTATTTTGTATTTGTTTTTTATTTATTACATACCTCCTAGGCCCCAGTGCCTGGGTAATTACTTGGCACATGGTAGCTTTTCAGTCACTTCATTGACTTGCTCTTAGAATGCAACTTATACTTGCATAAAACATTCTGCAGATATGGACTGATGTGTTGGATTTTTTAAAAACCAATTTCATACTAGAAGTAAGTACCCTCTATGAGTAGATTGAAGTTTATTATATTATTTTTGTTTCAAGAACTTCTCACTTTGTTATCTTTTTATAGCTTTATTGAGGTACAGTTAATATACAATAAACTGCACGTATTTAAAGCGTACGGTTTGATACATTTTGACCTAGTTTTACACCCATGAAACCATCGCCAGTATCAAAATAATGAACACATCCATCACCGGAAAAGTCTCCTTGTCCCTATCCCCCGCCCCGCACCCCTTTTTCCTCTCTGCACAAGTTAAACAACTGCAATGCCATCCAACCAACCATCCTCCTCCTAGGTAGTTGCCCGAGAGAAATGAACGCCCATGCCTGCCTTTACACCTCTGCAGGAAGGGCCATAAAACCTTTACTGGTAACATCCAAACTGGAAGCGGCCCACCGTCCATCCACCAGTGAACGGATACACAAAGTGTGATGTACCCATACAGTAGAATACTATTCTGCAACGAAAAGGAGTGAGCTGTTACATTTAGTTTGAACTGTGAGATTTGTTGTCTTTGATTTGTATCTAAATGGATATTCATTCCCTTAGCACATCCCCCCAAGTGGAAGAAACTAGCTTAATATTAAGACGTTAGTTAGTTATAGATGAACCATAGAAGGATGTAAATCGTATTTGGGTAATTAAGGATTGATCCTTCTTCTGAGAACTTAGAAATGGTCGGTACAGTTTGTGCTGCTACAGGACTTGATTCTGTGGCATCAAGTGGCTTCTACGACGCGTGAACGAGCAGCGATGTCAGTTGTGGCTGTGTGGGTTTGTGTAAGATGCAGCGGGCAAGGGGTGTGGAATCGAGGGCGTAGAATTAAAAAGAACAAGAAAAACCAAACCCCTCAGGCCGGCTGGGGCACAGACAGGTTTTTTTCAAGTGGGGTGTAAGAACAGTAAAGATTAGCTCCTGGGGCGGGAGGGGGACTAGTGCCCACCCTGCAGCCTGAGGTAGCAGCTTCTGAGGGGCTGTACTTCCTCTTGTGCCCTCCTAACAGCAGCCTCAGCTGCGCTGTTTTAGCACCTGCACATCTACGTTTCACTTTATTGTTTCTGTTCATTGTTGATGTGACCTGAGGCAGTCCCTAATGATGCTGCCTGAGTTGTTCAGGTTACCTCCTTAGGAACCACTAGTTATTTCTGTTGGACTCTAGTTACAAAGTTGCGTATGTTTTGAGTAATCTGTCCCAACCCTAATTTTACCCCCTTGATTTTATTTTTTATTTTGCAGAATGAGATTTTATTTTTTTAATTCTCATTTTTTTTTAATGTGGCTTCCTAACCGAAAAAAAAACAAACAAAAAACACCCAAATGTTAAAGTAGTTTATTAAATGATTTCCTGGAAATACTATATTAAAAATGTGTTTCTTAGTATTTTTACCTAATATTTAGATCTTGTTTACAATGTGTCAGATACTGTTCTAAATGCTTATCAAAGATTAGCTCATTCTGTCCTCACAACAGAACTACGCGATGAGTCTGGTATCATCCTTCTTGTATGGATAACGGAACAGAACAGACAGGATGAGTAACTCGCTCAGGATCACAGCACAGTTAGTCTGGTTCTGTGGATTGTGTTGCCAACTATTGTGTTACTTGCCTTCTGCGCCATGTTGAATATAGTAAATTAGAATTTGTTATGATTTTCCTGTGTAAGTCCCATCGGTGGTTTTGCAGCAAAGTAGCATTTAGTCAGCACTGAATGTACAAGTGGAAAGAGCGGGACCGCACACGGAGGGCTGGGGAGCGGTGGCCGGTCGCAGCCCGGCTGCCATTGTCTCAGCAGTTTTTCAGAAGTCGGTGTTTCATTCGGTTTATTTATTTGGGGTTTTACATTTTTCTTAGGCATATCACACCGGAGAAATTTTACGTGGAAGCTTGTGATGACGGAGCAGATGACGTGCTTATCATCGACCGTGTGTCCACGGAGGTCACCCTCTCAGGTATTTTATAGGCAGGTTCAGGAGTGTCTGAGAAAGACTGTATACCTGTGTTGCAGTAATTGAATTAATCAGGTATGTCAGTTGTGCCCCTCTCAGTGTCTTACAGAATTTCAATTCTTTTTGCCTCATTTGGTTTTTATGCTTTCTCCTTTTTATGAAAAGGAAAAATGATCTTGAAAATTTCACTTTCTGTAAGGACTTAGAACCAATTATGTCTTATTTGTTAGCATTAGGTGTATGTGATTTTAACAGCTTCTGTTGTTTTTTTAAATATTCATGACCATGAGGGTAATTTAATGAATAAAAAATAATCTAAACATCATTGACTAAAATTCTTTTAGGCAAATGATGTTTCTAAGCTTTTTATCTGTCTGTCTTATCCATCTATCCAGTTATATTTTGTTTTTGTTTCTCTGGAGTTTAAGAAACAAATTCTTTTTCAATTGTGTAGAACACGGATTTCTGACTAGAGTAATGTGAAATGATTTTGGTGACTAATTAATGTACCATGTGATATCATGTTTAGAATTTCATATTGTAGTTATTTAAAAATTCACCTCTGGACAGAATTCTTTCTTTTTTTTTTTTTAAGATTTTATTTATTTACTTTTAGAGAGAGGGGAAGGGAAGGAGAGAAATGTTGATGTGCAGGAGATACATCGATCGGTTGCCTCATGCACGCCCCCAGCTGGGGACCGGTCCTGCAGCCCAGGCCTGCGCCCTGCCTGGGAATGGAGCTGGCGACCTTTTGGTGCTCAGGCTGGCGCTCCATCCACTGAGCCACCCCAGCCAGAGCTGTTTTTCCCTTCAGTACAGTATTTGAGTAACCATATAGTAGGCATTCAGTAAACAATGAATATCCTTTGTATGAAGTGAAATATGAAAATATTTTGCATCAAATAATAAAGTATAAGAAAGATACGACCACATTTCAGTTTCCTTGGTTATGTGGCTATTCTGGTACGGACTATATATATATAATTTTCATTTGACCAAATGGAATCAGAGCTCTGCTTTACTTTGATAATTTGACATTTACTTGGTGGCTGCTCTCTTAAGGTAGATAATTGGTTTTAACCAATGGCAGTGCCCTTCTCATAAAGTAGTTACATTACTTTTTTGTAAATATTGATACAACCTAGTGTCTTACTAAAGCTATTTAGTATGGATGTATTTTCAATTATTTCTGACTTTGCAGCGACACCTAATTAGTGAGTAGAGGTTGCAGGCCCATTTGAGGGGACAGAGCTAAAGGCCGGGAATGGCGTGGACACGCGCCAGCGGGCATGTCGGAGCCGCTCTGACCCGCAGCCGCGGCGGCGGGTGGCTTGTGGCTCGCTCGCAGCTTCTCCGCCGGCTGGAAGCGCGAACCCTCATGAGAGAGAGATTTTTTTCCTTCCATGAAAAACTAACCTGTTTTCTTAGAAATTACCGTTGTTTTATTGCTATTCTTCCCCAGTTAATGTAATTTACAGCTCTATCTGTTTAAGCCCATCAGATGGTCTCTGTAGACTCAAGATTTTCTTTCAGCTCTTTGTCTCACTGGTATTACCATTTTTCATGTTAGTTAGTTGTGGCCTAGTGTTGCTAAGTAAATTGAATTACTGAGTGAAACAGAAGTGAATTTGAGACTTACTCAGAATTACTTCCTTCAGGATACTAGGGCTGCCATTAAGAAAAAGAGCTTGGGTTACAGCAGTGTTTCAAAATGGATTCCAAGGTGATGAATCTGATGTGACTGAAAGAAAAAGTGCGCAGCCACCTACGTTTGGGACACATGACTAACCAGCCAGGCAGCTGGGCCTCGGAGGTTTCGTCTGCTGTGCGTTCCGGCTCCTCTTGGGGGAGGGCACAGCAGCGGCGCGGGCGGAACGAACGAAGCTTTTTTGACGGGACATTGTTCCCTGTACTGGGGTTCTACAAAATACGTTTGGTGAAACACGTTGGGCAAAAGTTAAACAATTAGGAGATGAACCCTATAATCTAAGATTAATAGATTACTGGTAATTTATTAATAAGAGCATTACTGGTAAAGGCACAGCTCGAGACGGTGCCTCCCTGCATGCCTCCATAAATTACTGTTGGACACGTGGAGGAGGCTTCTCCTTCCTCTGTCTCCCTCGGACCTTCACCTGCACCTCCCACATTCTTAGGCATGGAGAGCCACGTCCTGTTTACGTTCTGTTGGTTGTGTGTTGAAATTAGAATCATGTCCCAACCCTTCTTCCATTTACCTTCTTTTTCATTTTAGTATTTATGTATGTATTTTTTGTTTTTGTTTTTTCATTTACTTCCTAATTTTCTTAAAGCAATAAAGACTGACTTTGTGGCAAGAGGTTGAATAAATTTAGTTGAAAATTGACAACTAGAAATAATCCACAATTTACTTGATAAGAATGCTGAAGAATGTTGCTTTTGACACCATAATCTGGACAGGCAGAGACCTTTATATACAACAGGGACATCTGTATTTTAAATTCTGCCAAAATCGTTTTCTGAGAACAAATCATGCATGTTAATTTAGTTGAACTATTGAAATCATACTGAATTTCCCCATCTGTCGGTGACTGTGTTCTTGATTTTTTTTTTTTTTTTTCTTTTAAAGTCAAGAAAGATATTCCTCCTTCAGCTGTCACGAGACCAATATTTGGTATACTGGGCACAATCCACCTGGTGGCAGGTAAGGAACAAGTACGCTCCGGTGGGCAAAGAACGTCATTAAATTGACACAATTAGTATATAAGATGAAAGCATACTTTTCATCTCATGTTTTGTGCAATAATCTGTAGATTAGGTATTTGTCATTAATTTCTAAAAGTAATATACACCAAATGGTTAAATTTATCAACCTGAGATTCCATTAAAAAAGAAGCTTGTTTTTGGTTTTACTTCAGCTAGAGTTGAAATCCCTAGTCAACTAAACATTTTTCATAAATTCTGAGTATTTAAGTAAAAATTTTCACATATTAATGGACCAGATTATTCTACCTTTAGTTCCATTCTGAGTTGAGTAAGACATAGTATGTGTTAGAGAGCATTATGTGGTTCTGAGTTAGTAGGAAAGTGATTTTGTTACTAGGAAAGAAATGTATCTAAATTTCATTTCATTGAACTTTAAAAAAATTCCTGTTGTATCAGGTCCTGTGCTAGATGCTAAGTTATAAAAGATGCAAGTCCCATTTGTCCTCACTTTACAGCCAGGGAGAGGCATTTAAGTAATCAATTACTGCAGTACAGTGTGACAAGTTCTAGGAGAGAAATGTACGTAGGAAAACGTCCAGGGGTGGCACGTATGGTAGAGCCTGGAACAACAGAGCTTAGGAATTAATTAGTGGGAAAGGCTTACCTTGTTTTCTTTGTCGGGGAGGAGGCGGCCAGGGTCAGGGTTGGTGTTGCGCACAGCGCTCTCGGCTCCTCCCTGCCTGACTGTGCATCTTCGTACAGATGCTCCAGACTTAGGATGGGGTTACAGCCCAGTAATCCCATCATAAGATGAAAGTGTCGTAAGTCGAAAATACATTTAATACACCCAACCTACAGAACCTCATAGCTTAGCCTGGCCCACCTTAAACATGCTCGGAGCACCCATGTTAGCCTACAGCTGGGCGGGATCTCTGACCCACAAACGTGCCGTAGACTCTCGGTGGTTGGCCCTCCTGACCGCGTGCCTGACTGGGAGCTGCGGCCCGCGGCTGCTGCCCACAGCACGGGAGGGGATCCTGCTGCCTATGATTGACCCGGAAAAGATCCAAATGCAAAATTCAAAGGATGGCTGCTAGTGAACGTACGCTACTTTGGCGCCATCGTGAAGTAGAAAAATCCTAGGTCAAACCATCGTAAGTTGAGGACCCTCTGTAATGCTGCATTGACCAGTTAGATATAGTGCTGCCCCAGCACATTTGTCTACCATTATGTTGATAGAAAGACATGAAGGACGTAAGAATGGTGTAGACAGGACATTGTCCTGCAGTGGTCAGATCTCATGCCCTGTGGCGCTTGGAGCTATACGCTGGGAAATGTATTAGAAGCCTGTCTGCCTTGGGGATGATGGCGGGGAGAGACGAGTGTCTCTGTCCCTGCTTTTGGTCTGCCAAGGTCACCGCTTCAGGTATCAAAGCCTTGGCTTTTGTCTTTGTGAGAAAAATATGTAAACTTTCAGTAGGAATTTCTGTAAATAATATGCTGGTCTTTCTATTCATAAATTATAAGATTGCTTTTTAAAACTGCTGGCCATTTATCTGGATAGCACAGCACGGTCTTACTTGCTGGCCTTTGGAGTTTGCACGACAAAGACGCTTCTTTTGGCGTTAGAGTTGCCTTATTTATATTTATCTGAGTTTGGCTTTGCTCTTTTGCAGGAAATTATCTAATTGTCATTACCAAAAAGATAAAAATAGGTGAATTTTTCAATCATGTAATCTGGAAAGCAACAGATTTTGATATTCTTTCTTATAAGAAGACAATGTTGCACTTGACTGATATTCAGGTAAGAAATGGAAGCACTAGTTGCAAAACCCAAAGTAGTGCCTTGGGGGTGGAGAGAGGGGGGTAGAATACAAGGAACATTTGATGGATTTTTAAACCTAACTATTTAAGCAACCATAGAGCAAGGTCACTTTACACACCTTTATACCTAGGCATAAAATGTATTTAAAAAATTCTTCATATATTTTATTTCTCTTGGTTTGGGGTGTTTTTTTTTTAAAAAAATAACTGGCTCTGTTCTTAAATTATGAAATTCCACATGGAGAGGAAACAACAAACAGAAAATGCATATGTTCTCAATGCCCAGATTTAACTTCATATGCTTTTTGTAAAGAAATAAAACATTAAATACCTTTGAAGTCCCACTCATTCCATTTCTTTCTTTCTTTCTTTTTTTTTTTAGGTTTTATTTATTTATTTTTAGGCTGAGGGAAGGGAAGGCAAAAGAGAGGGAGAGGAACATCAGTGTGGCAGAGAGACCTCAATGGGCTGCATCTCACATGTCCCCTCTTGGGGCCCTGGGCTGCAACCCAGGTGTGTGCCCTGACTGGGAATTGAACCAGTGACCTTTTGGTGCACAGGCTGGCACTCAGTCCACTGAGCCACACCAGTCAGGGCCACTCATCCTATTTCATTCCCTTTTTCCCCAAAGGAAAAAAGTTTTCTTCACTTTTCCCACGTGTGGCGGCCGTGAGTGTGCATATGTGTGCGCAGACAGTGCTCCTGTTGCGTGCGCAGGCTTCGGTTAGCGTGGTTTAGTTAACGCAGTCCCCGACAACATGGTTTATAGTTCGGTCATGCTGGTATATTAACTAAAGATTGTCCCACCAAAGATGAAAGTGCGAACAAACAAAAGCAACAGCTCTGGAAGTGACATTCAGACTGACCACGAGTGAGGCGTAGAAGAAATTGCTGACTGTGGGGACACTGGTACTGTCACTGTTCACGAGACTCGGGAGACTCAGCCAGAGGTTTTAGTGAAGTGGCTATGTTTCCTAGTGACCCAACACCAACGGTTATGTTTTAAAACAAAGATAAAAACAAATGTCCGTCTTGGTATTCACTGGGAAAGCCAGCTAAAATGATGATCAGAAAATAAAGTATATATTACTTTTATAGGACTTTTTAATTTTTTTAAAAAAGAATTCTGTTTTACTTACCATCCTCTCCAACCAGTTAAGTTAGTTTGTTTGTTTCTTTTTAAATTTTACTTACTGATTTTAGAGAGGGAAAGGGAGAGAGAAACATTGCCTTGTTGTTCCACCCACCCATGCATTCATTGGTTGTTTCTTGTATGAGCCCTAACTGAGGATCGAACCCGCAACCTGGGCATATCAGGGTGACACTCCAACCAACCGAGCTAGCTGGCCAGGCCTAGTAAAGTTTCTTAAGAACATGGATGGTAATATTCTCTCGTTACTCACTGTTTGTGTTACTGAGCCCTCGTGATTTTGTTTTTCATTTATCAAATGAGGATACTTACTCACCTAGCAGGTTTGTTTCTGAAGGTGAAAGAAGATCTATGTAAAGTGTCTCGCACACAGTAGGTCATCACTTAAGTTGGTGATATTTCAGTAAAATAACTCTTCCCATTAAAGTAAAAACTGAATGATACCGAAGGGAAGGAGCTCTGCCTAATCAATTAATATAATCATACCTTTCACTATTGAGCATTGTCCTTCTGCCAGTGATATTTAATAGGGCCAGACTTACAGGTTTTTATTTTCCTTATTTTTTCATGCCTACAGATTCCTTTTCAGGTATGAAGTAAGCTGATTTTTTTAATTTTTTTTTTTTTTACAGTTACAAGATAATAAAACCTTCCTAGCAATGATAAACCATGTCTTGAATGTGGATGGGTTTTACTTTTCAACCACATATGATTTGACCCATACTTTGCAGCGGCTGTCAAACACTAGTCCAGAATTTCAAGAAATGAGTCTCTTGGAAAGGGTAAGCTAAATTGTCAGCTATTTTTATTCCTATGGGTTTTTTTAAGAGGCATATCCCTGTTTCATCCATTAAAATATGTATTGCTTGTTCTCAATCCTGGCTGGATGTATATTTTCAAATATACATCAGTCCCACATTCTGGGTCCCAATCTGTATATGCTACGCAGACAGGATTGAGAATTATGATGTAGGTGGTCAGAAATCTGGTCTTATCGCACATGTTGGTGATTTCCTAGCTCTAGGTGTTTTATAGTCTAACAGGTATTAGCATTAGTGATGTAATTATGCTTATAAAATTAATGTATTTCTGCAGTGGTGTCATTTACAGTTTTTGCAGCTAGAAAAGTACAACTTACTGACTTAAGAGTTTGAAAAATACCCTTTCGTTTAAGGTGGGGTTTTTGGTTGTTACTTTTCTTTTTAAAGATGAGTATCTTTAAAACTGGGCCTCAAATGATCTCAACTTAAAATTTTTCCTGTTCAGGAATCTAGGTGATTGCTGCCGTGATTTTTTTATTAACCTTAGATGTGTTACATCTAAGGGCAGACAGACTTTCAAAGGTTGCTATCAGTTACGTATTAGATTGGAGTATATGAAATGGGCGGTAATTAATGAGTTTTGACCAATAAAAATGATAATTTCAAATAGTTCAACCTAAATCAAAGTTTTAGTTGATTGGCTTTATTAAGAATCCAGACTCTGGTAAAATTTATGTAGGCTTAGCTGTAAATTCAGAGACAACCTTAGCAGTCAAGAAATTGGGCTTTTACCTAAAGACTCTTGATTTTGAAAGCAGTGGCTGCATTGTCCGTTTGTCTGTCAGATGTCTCTCAGATGCCTGCTCCGTACCAGGCACTGTTTTAGCCACTAGGGACACAGAATGAAATGACTTGGCCCCAGCCCGGGGGGCCTGCCGTCTGCTGGGGAGGCGGAAGCCTAGGCAGTCACACGACAAGGGACACTTGCTGTCACGGAGCTCTGTACCCTAGTGTCGTGGGACCCTGCAGGGAGGCGGGTCTCACTCAGTCTCCGGCAGTCGGGGGCGACATTACCGAGATCACTTTCGAGCTGAGATTTCATGGTGAATAGGCCTTAGTGGTCAGGTGACAATGGAAGAGGGCGGGTTTCCAGGCGGAGATGGTGACAATATTGGGCTAAACTGAGAAAGAAGCCATTATATCTGTGGGGATGGGAAAAGAAGTTTTTGTTAGCGAATCCGAAGAGTCAGTTAAAGTTAAGATAGGGAACTGTAAAAGTGATAAATACACCACATGGGCCTTAAATGTTTTCACTTAAATTTTTGCATTGACCGGTCAGTTTCTTGATGTCAGACCATAGGCTTTTCTTTGTTTTTGGTTCCTTGATTCTTAATTGTCTTTGCAGCTTGAGTCTATTGGAAGGTTTTGACACAGCAGTGTGTTTGCAGAATCTGTAGATTTTTACTGTTTCTCTCATCTTCTGCAGTTGCCACTCCCACCTCTAATTCAACAGCAGCTTTGTTTTAGCGAATTACCTTTTATCAAGTTAAATTCCAACTCATTTTGCTTTATACTTTAAGTCACATTTCATCGATTTATAAAATACTTAGTTAAACTGTGTAATGACGAGTAACTAGTACAGCTGGCACGGGAACACGCGCTTGAATCTCGGGGAGCGGGCCATCCGCCTGGTGTGGCGGCGGGCAAGCGCGCTCCCTGCGGTTTCAGATGGCGGGGGGCGGCGGGGGGGCTGCCAGATGGGCGTGTTTTGTGAAGAGAATGGAGAGAAATGGTTAGTCTGCGGAGTTGTTGAGGGAGCTTCTGTGTTTATAGTTTGAAAGTCAGAATGGCCAGAGATGAGATCAGAGAGCTAATAAGTAGGGGCTGCCGGAGCCCGCGACCGCTTAGGCCGTGCAAGCGAGCGTTGGTTCTTGAGACGCGGGGAGCCAGCGGAGCGTCCCGCAGCCGGGAGGCCTGTCGCGCTGGGCAACCCGGCCGGCAGCCGGCGGGGGCCCGCGGTGAGGCTGGAGCCAGGTGCTGGCAGGGGTGCGGGGAGCAGGCCTGTGGAGAAGAGGGTGGGTTGGAAGAGTTGGGACTTGCCGGTTGACTGAACGCAGGAGAAAGACAGACCCTGAGGGGACTCCCGGGGTTCTGGGCCGCAGCCGCCCGGTGTGGAGGCGGAGCGAGAGGAAAACCCGGCCGGCGGAGCGGGGCGCTGATTGGAGGGGAAGAGGAGTCCTGTTTGGAGCTCGTCAGAGAGGCCTGTTTCTCGCCGCAAGGTGGAAACATCATAGTTTTCTTTCTGTAGAGACTCACCTTAGCAGGAGATATTTTTTAATTTTAAAACTTCTCTCTCAGGCAGATCAGCGGTTTGTATGGAATTGTCATCTTCTGAGAGAACTCTCCGCGCAGCCAGAGGTAACGTACACTAAACAGAACCTGCTTATTTGTGACAGCCCAAGTTTTAATTGCGCGTTATAGAAGGGCTGCCTGATCCCCAGGGATTTGGGTGATGCTCGTTTAACTCCGCTGACGACCTACAAACTTTGGTCAGGTCTGCGCTCTCGCATCACTCTGGGCTGAGGACGAATAGCTGTTCGGCCCTGGGCTCCTAGGGAAGCCTCCAGTAAAGAAAAAATACTGAAGTAAAAACACGCTTTCGATAAGTGAGAGAGCTAGATTGGGCCTTGGTGGATGAGTAAGGGAGAAACCAGGGGCCGAGCTAAGTCCCCAGGCGAGGGGAGAGTTCTGCATCTGCCCCTCTGGGGCCGGGACCCCCTTCAGTAGCCCAGGAGTCACACACAGGTGTCGCCCGCCCCTGTCCCCGGTCTCTACAAGTGAGGCACAAGCAGGCGGCGCAGCCAGGAAGCATACTACGCCGGATCTGGGCGCCTGGATTTTACCTGCTGGCTTTCCGTCTTACCATTTGCTTTGCCTGTGTTTTACAAAAGTAGTTGGAGCTGCGAGCAGGTAGCATGGGCCCGGCCTTGCCCCAGAGGAGCGGGCGTTGGAGGCCCAGGTGAGCGCTCTGCAGCCGCGGCCGGTCTCCGCGGTGTCCCAGGGCCTGCGACTGTCCCGCCCGGCGCTTACAGCTCGTCCTCGATGTTTCCATTGGGACGACGATGTTAACTAGAGAAGTTTCTTTAAAATTAAGAGTTACCCATAAGCTTACTACCTTGTTATATTTGTATATCACCTCCTTATGTGTAAATATGCTTTATAGAGGGCTTTTTGTTTACTTTAAAAGTATATTTATTCCTAAATGTAATGTGTATCTTCATTTCAGGTCCACCGGTTTGCTCTCCCAGTAGTACATGGCTGTATCCTTACATAACGCTACTCTTTAGTTTTCTAGTGGTCTTTATTTGAATATTATTTATAAGGCAGATTCAGAGATAATCTCAAATATTGCATGAGGCAAATATTGTAGAATTAGTAGAAATTGCTTTTGATAACAAAATCAAGCCCATTAACATAAAATCCTAGAATACTGATTGTAAATAACTTTTTTTTTTTTTTTTTTAAGAATGCCCTCTTTAGACTGAATTACTCTCTCTCTTCAGGAATTCTGGGGCTGATGGTTTCAAAAAAAGGAATAGGGATACTGTGTTTTGCCTTACTAGACTTTGCATCAATAAACAAGAGTAGTTTGAACCTTGCTATTGAAAACTGTAGAAATCTCAAAAGTCTCAAGTACTAGGGTGATCTGCAACTTGGAGAGAATTAATTACAAATTATATTTGTCATTTGAAATAGCCACAGGAAAGTAAACGTAGATAATGCTTGGGGAGTGGGGAAATCAGAACGAATACAAAATAAGTAATGATTATCTAGTTGGAAGTTTACTTTAAAAGCTTGTCTTTGTCATAGGCATCACAATAAAAACGGGAGGCAGAGAGAGGCGGCCGGGGAAGGAGCGGCGCTGGCCCTGGGGCGGCTGGTGCCTGCAGTAGCCAAGGGGCCGCCCCGCTCCCCGCTCCCCGCACCCCACCAGGCTCCTTACCACAGCAGCCTCTGATTCGTTTGTGTGTTATGATTTCCTTAAAGTATTTTGCTTGCTATATGTAAAGAAAGGCAGAGAAGTAGCGGAGAGAACATTCTCCACAGTCATGGGGGAATAATAGAAAACCTCAGATTAAAATCTCTTATTTATTCTGGGTTTGTTTGTTTGTTTGTTTGTTTTCTCTCTGGAGCTTTCCAGGTTCCGCTGAGGGTGCAGTGAGAACAGGTGTAATTAGGCAGTGCTTTAAGGGCTTTGGACTGATTGTGGTGGTTTTCCACCAAATGAGATTGTGAACGGACATAAAACTGTCAAGTGAGATTTACAGGACACTTTCTAGGCATTTTTAGAATAGTTGATCCATTTGGCTTCATCTGAAACTTTAAATTAGTTTTTGTTTAATGTAGTTTCTTGATTAGAGGTAGAGTCACATGTTTTGAATAAACACAGAAAGGTCAGCAAGAACAAGGCCCCAAGGCAGGCGCGAGCCTGGGGCCCAGGGAGCCTGGAGCCCAGGGAGCAGCCAGGGCGAAGCTGCGAGGGAGGCGCGGGAGGCAGACGGCTGGGCCCAGGCTCTGCAGAGCCCGAAGGGCTGCATCTGTCGGCAGCTGGGATGGGAAGCTGTTGGGATCTAAGGGGAGGGCCGGCAGGAGAAGGCGAGATCACGGTGTGACAGTGACGTTAGAGAAGAGGCCGAAGGGAGCCAGGGTGGACACAGCGCAGTGAGGAGGTGGTGGAAGTAATGCAGGCAAGGGCGGCGTTGCCTGGATGGTGGGGTGACGGCGGCGAAAGACGGGCAGGTTCTAGGGGCGGTTTGCAGGCAGAGCTGACGGGACTTCCTGGCAAGTTGTACGGGGGGCAGGGGGCATGAAAGGGAGAGGTTTACTTCGGATCTAAACTTTTGACCAGGGTGTGTGGAAGGAAGCCATCTGCTGAGGTGGGGAAGAGCCTAGAGGTGGGAGGGGGGCTGAAGAGAGTTCATACGAGGCTGGAGATTTCAGTAGGTATCCAAGTAGATTTAGATTCATACTAACCTCCTCCTTCATACCTCCTGTACAATTTGTCAGAATTGTTCACTCTGGAAATAGTACATGTGATTTCTCTATATGTTACATTTTTCTTAATGTGGCCAAGTTATTACTATGCACTCGTGTTCTATTAACGGCAAACACTTTGACTGGATTCTCATCTCGAGGAGGAGCTGCTTCAGAGCTGGCGTGCGCTACTACGTCAGAGGTGGGCTTGCTTCCGTCAGCACGGTTCAGTCCTGGGTTATGCCGAGCTCTAATTAACATTTCGTTTTACAGTGACATGGCTGTGACCTCTTGTATTTTATTTGTTTGCATAACCATTTGATAGCTCAGTAAATATTTACCCCCTGCTTCGCTGTAACGGTCAGGTAGGCCTGCTGCGCCCTGCTCCGGCGCGGGAGGTACGCCGCAGCTTCTTCCTGCTGCATTTGGGTCAGGAAGTTACTTGGTTCATCTCCCTTATTATGGGCAGTAGAGCAGAGGAGGAAAGACATTCAGCGAGTGAGCTGGCCAAGATCGCAGAACCAGGGTTAGCATTGGCAGCTCCCTGTAACTAGAATTTCTTGGGTGGAGATATATTTTTTTTTTATCCTCACCCGAGGATATATTTATTGACTGTAGAGAGAGAGGAAGGGAGAGAGACAGAGACATCACTGAGAGAAGTATCAATTGGTTACCTCTGTATACACCCTGACCAGAGATTGAACCTGCAACCTAGGTATGTGCCCTGACCGGGGATTGAACTCGCAACCTTTCGGTGTATAGGCTGACGCTCTAACCAACTGAGCCACCCAGCCAGGGCTGGAGACATAATTTTTAATTAAATTTTTTGAATAGGTAATACATTCATATAGTTCAGCTATCAAAAAGTATAAAAAGAAATGCAATGAGAAATATTTCTTATTCTGACGCCATCTGCTGTATCTTACCCCCACCAGCTAATCAGTGGTTAGTTTCTGTTTATCCTTCCAGATAATTTTATACTGTTGCAGGTATGTTCTCCTCCTCCTCCTCCTCTTGTGGACAGTGGTTGTGTACTGTGCGCAGTTCTTGCACCTTGTTGTCTTTTTTTTTAACTTAATATATTGAGAAAAGCTTTTCGTGGAGGCCTTTCTCTTTCTCTCTTCCCCCATCTCCATCTCACTTTTAAAAATAACTGCATATCATTCCATAATGGAAATGTGGGACTTGTGGAAAGAACCAAGTGTATAGTCTGTGCTTGTGGTAAGTAACTTGAGAGGCATTGAGAAGGCATTTCATTACTGATTTGACTCAGTAATCTTGTCCCCTTCTGGTAATACATTAACAAAAAAACTGATACCTCACACCTCAAAGTGTTACGTTTCAGAAATATGTCAGATAGAAATAACGTTAAGAAGTATTTCAGATAGTTAAAAATCCACTGATTTCTTTCTGATAATTTGGAAACTTGAGTCAGGGACTAGCTCAAAAGTTACCTTTGCTCAGCAAGCTTTTCTTAGTGAAAATATACGGTGGAAACAGGACCGTTGGGAACGCGTCAGGTGTTTGGAAGGACGGCCCCACAGCAAGACAGCGCTTTTCGGGCGAGGCTGGGTGGGTGTGTTCAGGGGGTTTCCGAACGTGGGGAGCTGGGGAGTGTATACAGTTCGTGTGCTCTCATTTTAATAATTATCATCATAAGCATCTGCTGGGCCATTTTGATTATTATAACCAAATAGTATCAACATTAATGGCCCACATTTGCATTAAATATTGTGTTTAATGGTTTTAACTTTCAAAATTTTACAGTAGTATTTTTTAAAACTAGGATTTGTGGACATATATGAGGCATCCTTGAGAATTTGTTTTTTTCCTTTAAAATATATCTTAAGTTTGAGAAACATTGTTTTGGGGGAATTATAGGAGTGCATATGTATAAATAATTGATATATCAAATAATAACCAACTACTTATTAACAGGTCCTTATACTGCCCTTCTATTTAAAATGAATGAGCATTGATTACCTTTCTGATCATGTATTGTGCATTTGTTTAAAATGTGTTTTTATAAATACTTTTCCACTCACTTGATTCTCTCTAAATTAAATAGAATTTTTTGGTATGTTTCTTATGTGATAAATACAGTTAATTTTTTTCAATTTAGGGATTGATTCCGAGGGCCACGCAGCCAACTTTGTAGAAACAGAGCAAATTGTGCACTACAACGGGAGCAAAGCCTCATTTGTCCAGGCAAGTGAGCGTGTCTGTGGGCTGGCCAGCCAGCTGGCCTTTTCTGTGGGGATAGGAAATTTGTTACGTCATTGAGATTTCTCTCCCCTCCTTTAACACACTTGTCTACAGTGTAGGAAAAGTGCCCCCAGAACAAAGGCGGTCCGTTAATCTGGCGCTCGCTGGGTGGCATTTCCTGCCCTTGGTTAAACCCCAAAGGCGAGGGTGGGGCAGGAGGTGCGGGGCCCTGGCAATGCGGCCTCCTCCCCGCTCGGCCCTGTGGCCTTCCTCAGGGCGACGAGGGCAGGACGACCCCGTCTGCCTTGCGGCACCTGAGAGGAGCCTGTCCCCCTTGCTGCCTCCGTCAGGGGCTGTGGGTCACGGGCCCCCCCCGCGCCGGAGGGGCTGCACATGCGGATCCCTGCGGGAACGAGTGCGGCCACTTTCCAGTTTCCACGCAAAGCCAGCGCAGGTAACAGGCGTGGCCTGTTACTGTCCACTCCTCGGTCAACGGGTTTCTGGAATTTAGGGGAAACACTGAACGAGGTACTGGTGCTGTGCATATAAAATCAGAAGGAGAAAAGTTCCTTTCCCAAAGGATTGCCACAAAATAGGCACTTTAGGAGCAGGTACACGTGGACGTCTTTCATAGTTGGTAGGTTGTATTTATGGTCTTTCCTTTGCAGTCACTGATGTGTATGTACCGTGACAGGAAGCAAGCTGAGGAAAACAAGTCTACACGTATGTTTCTTTTCACATTTCTCTCTCCTCTTTCAGACTCGAGGATCAATACCAGTTTTCTGGTCTCAAAGACCAAACCTCAAGTACAAACCACGGCCACAGATCAACAAAGTAGCAAATCATGTGTGTATCTTCTGTGTTTTCCTTATTGGCATTATAATTTATATATAGAGCATGTATTTATTCCTCATAAATCAAAATTCATCATCTTTGAGGCCTTTCTCCTTGGTGCTGGCACATAGTGAACCCCCTCAGGAGGGTCCAGCCTGCAGCCTGCGTACAGCCCAGGACGGCTGTGAATGCGGCCCAACACAAAATCGTAAATTTACTTAAAACATTATGAGATTTGTGTGTGTGTGTGTGTGTGTGTGTATGTGATTAAGTGTCACAGCGTATTTAATGTGTGGCCCAAGACAATTTTTCTTCTTCCATTGTGGCCAAAAGGTTGGACACCCCAGAGTCCAAACCAAAGGGTTGTATAGATGGCATGTTAGAAATGTGAAAAACAAGCCATGGTTGAATGGTATCTCAAATTCAGATTTTAGAGATTTCAGTAAGATTTGCAGCTACCTGGTGTTCAGAGTATTTTGTGTATTCTGTTTGAGGTTGTGCTCAGAATTACAATAGTAGTATTGCAGCTTGGAGCAGAATGGCTTATAATTACTATTTACTGTGTGGTATTTAGATGATCTAGAAGACAGAGACGAGGTTTCTGTAGCAAGGATATTTAAGGAGATACTTTAAAACATCTTATGAATATTCTTACAATGTGCTCTAATAAAGTGTCTTAATTTTTTTTTCTTCTCTAGTTGGATGGTTTCCAAAGGCATTTTGATTCGCAATTAATTATTTATGGAAAACAAGTCATAATCAATCTGGTATGTTTCTTTCTTGTTTCTGGGGAAGCAAAACAAACCAAGAGAAAAAGGACGTTTTTTAACGTAAAATTTATCATTTTAACCATTTTAAGTGTACAGTTGGTACCATTAAGAATGGCGTACAGCCCCGGCTGGTGCGGCTCACTGGGTTGAGTGCCGGTCTGTGAACTGAAAGGTCATCGGTTAGATTCCCAGTCAGGGCATGTGCCTGGGTTGTGGGCCAGGTCCCCAGTGGGGGGGCGTGTGAGAGGTAATTCATAGTGTTTCTCTTGTACATCGATGTTTCTCTCCCTCTTTTTCTTCCTCTCTTCCCCTCTCTCTAAAAAATAAATAAAACCTTCGAAAAAATACTGTGCAACCATCACTACTGACCATTTCCAACTTTTTGTCGTACCAAAAGGAAACTCAGTATTCATCAGACTTAACTATTATTCCTCTCCCCTCGGCCCCAACTAACTATATTCTACATTCTGTATAAATTTGCCTGTTCACATATTTGTTCCTTTGTGTCTTGCTTATTTTATCTAAAGTCCATTCATGTTGCAGCATGTGTCAAAATTTCATTCCTTTTTAAGACTGAATACTCCATTGTATGTGTAAACCAGTTTGTTTATCCATTGATTTATCCATGGACATTAGATTGTTTCCATGTTTTAGTTACTGTGAATAATGCTGTGTGCACGTATCTGTTTGAGTCCCTGCGTGCAGTTCTTTATCAGGTATAATACCTAGGAGTGGAAATGCTGAATCTTACGGTATTTCTATGTTTAACTTTTTAAGGAGCAGCCATACAGTAGCTACAATATTTTGCATTCCTCCGAACAATGCACCAGGGTTCCAGTTTCTTCACATCCTTGCCAACACTGTTATTTTCTGTATTTCTTTTGGTTTTTGATTATAGCCATCCCTGTGGGTGTGAAGTATTAAGTCATTGTGGTTTTGACTGGCATTTCTCTAATGACTGGTGATGTTGAGCATCTTGTCCTGGCCATTTGTGTATCTTCTTTGGAGATACTTTGTAGCATCCTTTCATTTCAACCTGAAGGACCTCCTTTCGCATTTCTTATGGGGCCCGTCTAGGGATAGTAACTCCCTCAGCTTTTGTTTGTCTAAGACTCATAACTGCTCTCTCATTTTTGAAGACAGTTTTGCAAAATACAGAATTTTTTGTTGACAGTTTTTTTTGTTTTGCATTTTCTCATTAAAATTAATTGGGGTGATACTGATTAATAAAATTACCTAAGTTTCAAGTGTTTGGTTCTGAAATACATCACCTGTATGTAGCATCGTGTGTTCACCTGAAGCGCAGCCTCCCTCCATCAGCATGTATTTGACCCCCCTTTCCCTTAACTACCTCTCCCTGTCCTGCTCTCCTCCTCGTAACCACCACACTATTGTCTGAATCCAGGAGCTTTTGCTTGTTTGCCTTGTTTGTTTGTTGTTTTCAGGTGGTCCTTTTCTTTCAGTGTGTTTGACATATCCTCCCACTGCCTTCTGGCTTCCAAGGTCTCTGAAGAGAAGTTGTCATATAATCCTATTAAGATTTTACTGTATGTGACGAGCCATTTCCCCTGTTGAGTTTAGTATCCTTTCTGTATTTCAGTTTAATTAAAATGTGTTTGGTGTGGGGTTCTTCGAGTTTATTACACTTGGAGTTTGGTCAGCCTCTTGGGTTTGAAGATTTGTTTTTCATCAGATTTGGGAGGTTTGGGCCATTTTCCCTAAATGATCTCCACACCCCCTTCTCTCGCCTCTTCTGGGGCTCCCGTAACGAGCACATAGTCTGCTCGATGGTGCACAGGAGTCCCCGTGCCTCTGTTTGCTCTTTTTCATTCTCTGTCCTTTCTGCTCCTCAGACTTGACTCTTTCATCTGTCCTCTCTTCAAGTTTGCTGATTCTTTTTTCTTCCTGCTAAATATGCTTTTGATCTCCTTTCATGAATTTTAATTTCCATTTTGTACTTTTTATCCCCCGACTTAGTATTTGGTTCCTTTGGATAATTTGTTTCTTTGTTGAACTTCTTGTTTTGTTCAGGCACTGTTTTCTGGAGTCCCTTTAGTTTTTTTGTCCATCTTTTATTATAGCTTTGAGCATATATTTTTCAAACGATTAGACTAAGTTTATTTAGAAAGTTACAGAGGCAGGAAAAGTGAGCCATTTGGGCGTGGGGTCGGGAAGCAGGTGACAGGCAGAAGGGCCCTTGGAGCTTAGCGGGGGTGGGGCAGGGGGAGGCAAGAGCAGCGCACCTGGGGGGAGGGGGAGGGAGAAAGTCCAGGCATGCGCCCCGGAACCACAGGGCCCTGAGCAATATTGGAGACAGTTAGTTTAGAACCTTTTTCTAATAAGGTTTCTGCAACGATGGTTTCTGACCATTCATCCTTTTTCACTGAATAAGCCTTATGTTCTTATTTCCTTACATGCCCTATGATTTCTTTGTTGTGGATGAAACTGGGGTACTGGTTGGTTATAATGTGGTAACTCTGGACCCGTGGGTTTGCTCTTTTTTCGTTTCTGTTTCACATGTTGAAGGCTCTAGTAATCCCCTTGTTTTGAGGCTTTTCCAGACTGTTTTTGCTAAGACTATTTCCTGCCATGTTTGCTCACTGAAGTCTGTTCTTTTAGCTCATGTTCAGCTAATGCTTTGACAGAGATTTCCTTGAATGCCAGGAATTGAAACAAAGAAAAAAACAAAAAAGAGAGCACATCAGCTCCCAGTCTCTGCAGATTAGCGAGGTGTGCCCAGGGGCCAGGGGCCAGCCTGAGGTGAAGAGTTGAGGTATCCTCAGGGCTTTCCCGAGCCCGCATCTCACCTGGGCCCGCATGGGGCCCTCTAACATCCCCCTTACCCGTGGCTGCTTTGTAATGCCCTAATTTCCCAAAGATTACCCCCCCAACTTCGTATGCAGGCTTAGATGGTCTGTTTCATGTCTCTGCCCGGAATCTTTTGCCCTGAGCATCTGTTGGTCTGCGGTCCTGTTTCAGCTTTTATGGGCAGTGCCCGCCGCTTCTCCTGCTTGTATTCACCGTCTTGCATGACAGACAAATAAGCCAGGCCTTTAGGTCAGAACAAAACATGCACAGTTCTGTGCAGGCGAGGTCTGGCCTGCCCCCTCCGGTGTGCGGAGGGGAACTGAGAACCGGTTCCCGCTGCCTAAGACTGAGACTGTCCCTGCGCAGGGATGGGCGTAAGGGCAAGTAAAAGCGCCACAGCTGTTCTGCGGTTTTGAAGATGGATTCCTCTTGATGGGACCTTTTCTTGGTTGCTGTAAACCTTTGATTGTTGTCCAGAGCTCCTGTAAACTTGGTTCAGACGGGTTCTGGCTTTTTCAGAGTTTCTGAGAGGGAACAAGGACTTCCATCACCCTAGTCCTCCGTTTTGCTGATGCCACTCTCCTTCCAAATAAACTTAAAGCTATGGTGTTTTTAATTTCTTACAGGTTAACCAGAAGGGTTCAGAGAAGCCACTCGAACAAGCATTTGCAACAATGGTGTCTTCCTTGGGGAACGGAATGATCAGGTACCTTACCAGGCGTCTGTGGGGGACTTTTCGGGTTAGGCGCGCACTCACATATATATATGAGTACATAGATCTCATTTACCGTCCATTTCACAGACGTGTATTTCAACTTAATTTTTTTTACTACTAGATCAAAGCATGGTTTTGTTGGCTTAAAATTTTCTCTGGCATAATTTCTATTGCACAACTTCTTAACAGTCGAGTTTTAATTTGAATTTTATAAGAATTTAGTCTGTGATTAAAATTGCCTTCTTGAGGCTTTGTGTCCCTTGAGTTTGTGTCCCTGTGGTCATCGAGGCATGAATTGCAGCCCCTCGTGATGGCTTCCTGCAGTCCCACCCGCCTCGGGAGCTGGAGCGCTCTCCTCTGGCCTGGTGGCCTTGTCCAGAGCAGCAGCGTGGCCTACTGGACGTCACCAGGCACAGCTGCAAACCCCTTGTAGCCTTGGCGGAAGAGGGGCCCCCCCAGGCGGCAGGAGCTGCCTGGTGGAGAGGTGCGGGGGACGAGTCAGCCTGTCGGGAACCTGCCGTGGCCGGGGCTGTGCTCTCGTGGGAAGTAGAAACAAACTTTGGGGGAAACTTCCCAAAGGAATAGTTCTAGGTTCTTTGGGGAGAATTTTAAACATACACGAAAATGGGATGATACAGTGAACCTTTGGGGAAGAGTTTGTCTATTTTGTCCAATTTAAAAACTAGCAAACTCATCAGACCTTTGCCCTGTGCCCATTGCGGCCTTCTCACCGCAGTGGACCTGTCCACTTCCACTCGGGGGGACGCAGAGGAGGAACTGCTCACCAGACGTGCCTCTGAATCCCCAGGGGGACATGCTCACACTATACCTCAGCCTTGACAATCAGAACCTCTGGGTTTGGCGTCCATCGTGTCTCTCCTGGGGACGCGTGTGTCCTGGCTTCTGTGAGCGCCTGGTTGCGGCCTCTCCCCAGAGGCTTCTCGGGGCTGTGCTGGCCTCCGGGGTTGTCCTCAGCGTGGAGCGGCAGCTTACCAGGGACACACGGGGGTCTCCGTGTGTCCTCTGCCTTCTGTCCCCCGCTCTTGGCTTTCAGGGACTGATTCATGACTTCCCCCTCTCACAGCGCGTTCCCCAGCTTGAGGTCGGCCACCTTACTGTACGTGCGCGCTCTCACGGAGAGCTGTGCCTGCTAAGTCTGGATAACTGACGACAGCCCTTGGCCCATTGACCCGTGTGTGTGATGCGCAGACCCTGAGGGGGGCTTTTGTCAGCATGGTCAGGAGCAGCCGGCGTGGGGGCCATCCTGCCTCTGCGCCTCACAGCCCCTAGCACAGAACAGACGCTCCTTGGACTGAACCATGTTTGACCGTTTGGAGCATTTTAATGAACTTGAAAACCACAAAACGGGATGCTCTCCTTTGCACACGGGGGTAGAGAATAAATGTGTGCGGTAGAGAATAAATGTGTGCTAGAGACTCGGTTGGTGAGGGCTCCTCTCCAGGACACGCCCCCTGCCCTCCCTGAGCGCGCTGCACCGGTGCCCCGCCCAAGGGCCCCAGCAGAGCCGTGAGGTGGGAGCGTGTGCCGCTTCTCCCTGCGGCCGGCCGTGAGCCTGCGACGGCGGCCGTGTGCGCAGCGCGGAACCAGGCGTGGAGGAGGCCCTGCTGTCCCAGGCCGTCCGGTTCCTGTGCTCTGCTGTAGAGAGGAGAGTCGGCTGTGCAGGTGTTACTGATAGAAGAAAAATGATCAATCTTTGGTTAGTTTTGAATATCTTTTCTTTTGGTAGATACATTGCCTTTGACTTCCATAAAGAATGTAAAAATATGAGATGGCATCGACTAAGTATTTTACTGGATCAGGTAGCAGAAATGCAAGATGAATTAAGGTAAGCTGTCTCACCTCCATCTCCCCGTGGAGGCTGTGGGATGAGGTCTGTGTGTGTGTGTGTTAACCGTATTTATTCATTATCTAGCAGACTTACAGTATAGTTCCCTGGAATGACAGCACTTGCCTGCACTATTGTTTCTAGGGTTTTCTTTTATTGAAAAGATGAGACTTCATAATTTAAAAAAATTTTTTTAGAGAGGGAAAGGGAGGGAGAAACATTGACTGGTTGCCTTTTGAATGCACCCGGACCTGAGACCAAACCTGCAACCTAGGCATGTGCCCTCCCCAGGAATTGAACCCACGACCTTTCAGTTGGTGACCTGACACCCAACCAACTGAGCTATGCCAGCCAGGGCTAAAAATACTGTCTTTAAGTTCTTAAAAATGACCCACAACAGGGTGTTTCTGTATTTTTATAAATTATCTTTCACACATTTACAATTTTTTTACATAATGAAGTTAATTTGCTACAGTTTTATAGTCAGTTTTTTTTCACTAAACATTCCATTACAGATGTGTGTCATTAGCGTTCCTAGTCCTTGTAAGGACAGTGTTTATGGCGCTTCTGCGTTCCATTGGGCAGTGATACAGTGTCAGTTAAATGCGCTGCTCTGCCGCCTTACGTCCCTCAGGGGAAGTGGCCTGTGATGCTGCGCTTGCTTTTGGAAGCGGGGCTCTCTTGCATGGCCCTTCAGGCGTCTCTTTGGTCTGTGGTAATGAAATACACCTGGACTGTGCATTGCCTCTCTGACCTTTCAATTTACTGGTTTTAATATTGTTACGGCTCAGAGACTGGTGTTATAAGAGTATGTCCTTAGTAAATTTAACCGACTTCTATGAGAGTGTTTATACAAATATGTTTTAGTTATTTTCTAGTGGACTCCACCGGCAAGGTGGTGGCGACCCAGGAGGGCGTGTTCCGCAGCAACTGCATGGACTGCCTGGACAGGACCAACGTGATCCAGAGCCTGCTGGCCCGCCGCTCGCTTCAGGCCCAGCTGCAGGTGCGGCCCCGCTTCTCCTCCATTAAACGGCATAGCCAGCCGTGAAGGGAGCTTCATCTTTAAAAACCAGTGACAAAAGCATTCACGTTGCCCTCGCCCTCACCCCACTCATTTTGTTTCTGCGTCTTGTTTTGTGGCTGTGCATTTTCCGTAGCCATGGTCAGTCTGCATGCGCACAAGTTGAATCTTGCCATTTCCTGTAGCGTTATATGTAATCATAGTTTTTAAGTGCTGCATTCAGTTACACTACAGTTTCCTAAGCCTTTTAGGGTACTACATTTTTAGCTTTTAAGTAACACTGTAGAGAACTATGTCTGCATATATTATTTTTAACTTGGACTAGTTCCTTCTGGCTGACTCCTGGAAGTTCAGTTACTGGGTTAAAGGGAATGTATGCAGTACTTTCCAGAGGCCCTGCCAGTTCGCGCTGATGTCAGCGAGCAACAGATGAATCCATTTCCGTGAACTCTTGCCAACATTAGATATTTTTACTTAAAACTTTTTTTTCTATTTTAATAATACAGAGTAGTGCCTCAAGTTCGTTTTTACTTGCATCTCTTTTATTACTGGCAAAGGATAGTAATGCCCCAGGTAAAAAGCTCCTGACACAGTTTTGCTTCATCATTAAGATTATGCTGTTGCAAAAAATAGATATAAATATTTTCTTGTTTATGTTCGGAATGAAAAGTATTTAAAGTCCAACTTTTTTAAATCACATTGACATTTGTTGTGAGGGGCAAACAAGTGGTTTCCTGCTGAAATAATTAGTAAGCCTCACAACTTTGTGCGTAACGGTTTTGGGGTCCCCAGGGAGGAATCATGGAGGCTGAATACCTCCCTGAGGAGGGATTGTCCTTAAACCCCAAAGCAGCCTGTGTCCAGGGCACAGATCCCCTTTTGGAGTGGTCTCTGGTTCCTTTGATTTGTGTTGGACTGTGTGCTTGTCAGTCTGTTGGACTGACTTCAAAGTATGTGTTTCAATAGCAGCAATATTAGGAATGGTTGTTTCCAGGGCCGATGAACAAAAACCTATTTAACTAGGTTCTGTAGTCTGCAGTTATAAAACGTGGCCAGGTTCAGAGAATCTTTGGGCAGACGCCTGTCCCTTTCGGGGTGGCCGAGCTCTCACCCATGAAGGCCGCTGAGGTGGCTCCTGCGCTGAGCGTGAGGTGGTGATGGTGAAGCTGGTGGTCCTGAGAGGGCCGAGGGTCCACGACAAAGCCCAAGGCAGAGTTCTGTGGCCTGTGAACCCAAAGGGGAGCCTGCGGGGGACCTGGGGTGCCCAGGAACCCCCCGAGAGCATATGCGAAGGGCCGTGCAGTGCGTGTTGGTGGGGAGGCAACGTGCAGGTTTCCTCCTTTTCTCAGTGGGGGGAGGGAGGCGGTGGGGGGAAGGAACAACAGCTGGAGTCCCATGGAGCTGTCATGGTGCCCCTTTCCTGTCCCTGTGCCCCCTCCCCAGGAGCAGGCAGTCCCGCTGCCCCTCCTGCGGTGCTGGGGCTCCAGGGAGAGGGGGCCGCTGTGCAGAGGCCGCGCCTCCCGCCCGTGGCCGGCAGCCAGGAGTCACGGGAAGTGACTTGAAGACTGTCTGCTTTTTCTTCTAAATCTGGTGCTGAAATCTACTACATGTAAACATGGGAGTTGTTCTTATTTCAGAGACTAGGTGTTTTGCATGTGGGACAGAAGCTTGAAGAACAAGATGAATTTGAGAAGATTTATAAAAATGGTAGGTGTTTTCTTTAACAGAGGCAAAGTTACTCAAATTTTGAAATAGATTAATACTTTAGACCTAGAACTCTGGTTGTCATTTCATCATTATCAGCTGATCTTTACTTCTTTTCACAGCCTGGGCCGACAACGCAAATGCTTGTGCCAAGCAGTATGCGGGGACCGGTGCCTTGAAGACCGACTTCACCAGGCAAGCTTGCTTTGAAAACGGCGGCCTTTCGGACAGATGGCCGCAGTCCTGGGGCAGCGGCCGGTCAGGGCCCATGGGGCCAGGGTTGCTGGGCGACGAGGCCCCAGTGCTTGCGGGTGGGCCCTTCCCATCGCCCCCCCTCCCCACCCCGCCATGATTCGGACGCGCAGGTGGCGAGAACCTCGGCTCCTGTTCCTCTCGGCCCTGCCCTGTGCCTGGATTGGCCCTGTCAGGTTCGGCAGGTTGGGGCCGGCCTGAGGCCTGCACCGCCAAAAGGCACCCGGATGGTTCTGAGGCTGCTTCCCGCAGCTGCGTGGGGCAGTGAGAGGCGGGGACGTTTTGAACTGGTTACAAATGCAGTTGGGCCTTTTTCTGCTCTCTGGGTTTCCTGGGAGCCAAATAAGATTTCTCAGTCTTTCTGCCATTTCACACCACTCAGCCTGGACCTTGTGTCTCTCTTTCTTCTTGTCTTGGCACTTGACATGGAACTTTTCCTCTGTGTGCCTACTTTGGTGGTGTTTTAGAAAGGGAATACATATTCCTTGGACTCGCTTAGTGGTGTTTTTTGTGAGGTACCTCCTTTATGTTCTCAGGGTTGACTTCTAAAATCTTTGTAATTCCCGTATCTCCATACAACATACATATTGGCCTTTTTTTTTTCGAAATTCACACTATGAAGCTGTGAGAATTTAATATGGAAATAGGTAACTCAGCACTTAACCTCTTTCAACCAGAACCGGGAAAAGAACTCAGTTGGGACTTTTAAAGGACGGCTGGAACTCACTAATACGGTATTACAAGAACAACTTCTCTGATGGCTTTAGGCAGGTACGTTTGTGTTTGATGTTCATTTTGGGTCATGAGGCGGCCACACCTCGGCGCTGGTCCCCCGTAATGTAATCACACCTTACTCGAAGTTAATTGTTTTCCTTTTGTCTGTTCTAGGATGCAATAGACCTGTTTCTTGGGAACTATTCAGTGGATGAATTAGAGTCTCACAGTCCTTTAAGTGTTCCAAGGGATTTGAAATTCCTGGCTGTAAGAAACCTTTATGTTTTTCACATGTTAAAACCATTGTGTCTGAAGGCATAGATAGTGCCAGCTCCCCTTGATTTAGAACAGTATGTGGTGTTCTCAAGGGAATATAAATGCCCAAAGCCCCCTCGGAGGACGTCTGGGAGAGGAGTAGAGTAACTGGAGCATCTGTGCTTTGTTTTGTTTTCAAATTTCACCACCTTGTGCACATCCTTTTACTGTGACGACACATAGCAAAGATAATGTGGGAGGTTTCTCATTTGAAGAAGACTCCACTCCCCTTAGTCAGGGGTTGCTAGAGGCAAGCTTGTATCTTGGAAGGCAAAGTACAGGCATGTGCCTCAGAGATATTGCAGGTTTGGTGCCAGATACTGGAATAAAACGAGTATCTCATTAAAGTGAGTCACATGACTATTTTCGTTTCCTAGTGCATATAAAAGTTTGCACTATACTGTGCTCGGTTAGTGTACATATCTTAATTAAAAAATATTGTTGAAAAATGCTAACCATCACCTGAGCCTGTAGGAAAGATGGCCCTAATATTAGGCTTGCCTGACAACAGGGTTGTCACAAACCTTCAATTTGTTTAAAAAGAAAAAGAAAAAGATGGTACCTGCAAAGCCCAGATAGGTGGAGCGCAGGAGGATGAGGCGTGCCAACGTGTTTTGGGTGCTCCCCTCCTGTGTTGACTCCTGCGTTCACCAGACTCTGCAGGGCCTCTCCGAGGCCACCCGTCACGGGGCAGAGCGGCCTGGAGCGGGAGGGCCTGGTGTCCCAGGCTCGCGTCCGGGCAGCCTCCCTCCACGCGGCACTCGGCTTGGAGCAAAGGCATGCTTCTCAGATCTGGTTACGTAACCAGCCTGAAGGTTTGGGCAGTTGTGATGGAACCCCTAAGTAGGAATGTTTTGTTGAAAAAAGACATTTGTGTATTATATTGTGGAAGTTTTATTTTTCAGGGAAAGCACGCGCAGCTGATTTGGCAGCCACTGGGTAGCGTTCTCACTGACGGTCTTGCTCCGTTCTCTTTCCAGCTGCCGATCATCATGGTGGTGGCCTTCTCGATGTGCATTATCTGCCTGCTCATGGCAGGTGAGTCTCTTTCACATTCTCCTCGTTGTGTTTTAGAACGTTGAATGTTCCTGGTACGACGTCTTGAGTTTTGGAGTCTACTCAATGCTTGATGTTTCCCAATTCAGTTCACCAGTGAAGTGAGCAGATAAGACTGGTCCTTAAATGTGACCAGAGGAAAAATACATACTCAGTAGCTTCATAAGTGTTTTTTTCTTAAGATTTTTAAACTTTTTTTTTTTTTTTTTACTGCCAGAGTAATAATACATAGTCGTTATTGAAAATACAGCTGGGCAAAAAGAAAAAAATATCTATTATCCTGCCTCCCAGAGATACACTGACTGCTCTTCATTTTTTGATGTTTTAATCTTTGTAATTGTGTGTGATATTTTTTCAAAGATACAAATTTTTCATAATTTTTTTTCACTGATCAATGTAAACATTTTCCCATGTTCTTTATTTTTAAGGGCTGCAAAGTATTCTATTTATGGATATACAGTTTGTTTAACCAACCACCTGTTGGACAAATAAGTGTTGTTAATAGATTAATGTAGTACTTACAAATTTTAATCAGTTGAGAGCAAAATTGGCTAAGAACTGAGCTAACAAGGTCCTTACTGGTTTCCTTTCTTCCTCTCAACATTTTCCTATGTCACTAAGTTCATAAGCATCAAAGACTTGCGTATCTCCATTGAGTGATATTCAGCGCTCTGGGAATGTGGGTCTGCCTGTGACTGGGTTGTACGGTACTTCTGAGGCGCAGCCTTAGACGCTCTGGAAGAGGAGGCGCCCTTGTCTTCCCCCTCCCCCCTGAATCCTGGGGCTAGCATTTTGCGGCTTGTCTGAATTCCTCTCCTCGGGGCCCCATTCAGGTGCTGCCCCCACCCCCAAGGTGGTCCTTGGTTCTCCCCCACACGCAGGACAGCTGAATGGAATTTAGGAAAACGGCACAGCAGCGCCCTGACCCGTGCGGCTCAGCGGGTCGGGCGTCCTGCAAAGCGAAAGTCACCGGTTCAGCCTCCCGTCAGGGCACATGCCTGGGCTGTGGGTTTGGTCCCTGGTCGGGGTGTGACCAAGAGACAAACGATTGATGTTTCTCTCTCACATTGATGTTTCTCTAAAAATAAAATACCGTATTTTGCCATGTATAATGTGCACGCATGTTTTTGTGTGCAGCATATCCATGGTATGTACTCATATACCCACATGTAATGCCCATCCTTTATTTTCCCTCAAAAAATTGGGCAAAAGGTGTGCATTATACAGGGAAAAATACAGTAAGTAAAATCTTGTTAAACAACTAAACCTCTAGAATAAGAATGCACATCAGGAGAGTTATGTACATACAAGTGTGTTATTAGAGTAGGTTATTGAGTTTTGTTTTAGACACACTAATACATAATTTTTCTGACACATGTACATTTTGTAGTTGTTTTTGTGTAGATATTTTGATAGTAGCTCATACTGTGAACTAAACTACTAGTGACACGCCGGCCAGGCGGCCAAGTTCATCGGAGCGTCATCCCACACACCGAAGGTGGCGGGTTCGGTATCCGGTCGGGGCACATACGGAAAGCAGCTGATCAGTGTTCCTCTTGCTCTCCCTCCCTTCCTCTCTAAAAGCAATAAAGAACATATATATCCTGGATGAGGGTTGGAGGATATATATACATAACTAAAAATAGGGCTGAGAAATTTAAAAAAAAATAAACTACAAGTGAGTTTCTTATAATATTAAAATACATAATCTAAAAGTAGCTATTATGTGAGTGATTGAACATGAAATAATTTAGACAAATGCTTCTCCACCTGGGCCCCTGGAACATGTTGAAAGCCGACAGTCGGCCCTGGTATCAGTAAATGACTTTCATTTACCACCGCTTTGTTTTTTATATCAACAGGTGACACTTGGACAGAAACGCTGGCCTATGTGCTCTTCTGGGGAGTTGCAAGCTTTGGAACATTTTTTATTATCCTTTACAATGGCAAAGATTTTGTCGACGCTCCCCGATTGGTCCAGAAAGAAAAGATAGACTGAGTTTGTGTCTGTGGAAAGCGGCTTGGCTTGGAAGACTCCACTGTGCAGAGCTGGAGTCTTTACTGACCCGCTTTCCACAGCAGCCCGCGGTCCCCGCAGAGCCTCGGTCCGGAGGTGCGCCCTGTGCTCTGTGTGGGCGACGGCCTAATGCCGACCTGGCGTCACTGTCTGGATGATGATCTCTTTACGGTCGAGACTGTTGTGCTTATAATTTCTGCTGTTCTTAATGCAAACGGGACCTGAATTCAGCTCACAGAATGGAAGGAATCTACTCATTGTCAGTTTAATCAACTGTTGCAGAATAAGTAATATATTTAAAAATCCAGCTTCTTTCATTACTTAGAACAGTAAAATTATTTTTCTAGCTTAGTTTCATTTTTGTCATTATGGAAGAAGGCGCTGTCAGCAAGCATACTTTTCTGCACATCTTTGAACTTTTCTTAGAAGTTGAATAATAAGCTAACTCTGCTATGTTTATATAACATACGTCTTTTACACTCATCAAGGAGTTTGACAGAAGAGACCCTGACATTGTGGCAGGGAGGGGTGTGGGGGCCATGTTCTCGGGGAGTCTTGGTTGGGCTGCCTTATGTGTAAGCGCAGCTTGGCGAAGTGCGATGAAGCAGTTCAGGTATTCTTTATCTTTTTTAAAAGGTGTAAATGAATCAAAGAATGTAAAGTCTATCTCTTATGCTAATGGTCCAAAGCCGCCTCTCTTTTAAGGATTTCCCTGGTGTGCAAAATCCCCTTGGTTGGTCAGCCACTTCCTCCTGGACACCTGGGTTTCTTTGTGGCCCTTCATGGAGACACAAGAGGCCCCGAGGGGCTCCTGTGCCGGGTCGGTGGGGACACAGAGGCCGTGGCTGCTGTGTGCTTGCCTGGTACGTGGCACCATGGAGGCACTTGCCTCTGTCAGGTAGGGCATAGTTCTCCAATCAAGGACCAATGTAAACTTTAATTTATGTGTAAAAACAAACCTGAAAAATATGCTTTAGAAGCTGTGCATAGGTCTAAGTCGGATTGTATATTCAAATTGTAATTGTGAGGTTTAAATATTAGAAAAGTACGTAAGGTAGTGTAATTGCCACTATTTTAAAACCGTTCGGTTAAATACTGCTACAGTATTTGTGTTGTGCTTGAAAATCTGTACAGTTTTTCAACAGCAATCTTGTTTTCCTTAAATATCTTTAAAAGCACCTTTATTTCAACATTACCTTTTTCTTTCAACATTATATTTTATAAACATTAATAAGAGGTGTTGCTTTTAGAAACTCTAAAGGCAGTAATCGCTGGAAAGCACTCTGTAGCTTCAAAATCAGTCATTAAAACTCACACTAGGGTAAGCAATTAGAACTACCTATCCCAAACATGTAAATAAGCAGAACCTGTTCCAAAGATGAAATACTGAAACCGGCTCATGTCTGCTGTCGCTCACATCTGCTATTACTCTGGCATTTCACGCTGGGAGCTTAACTTCGCGATGACAACAAATCCCAAACCGGGACCGCGGATGGGACGCTTTGCAGCGAACGGGCTGGTGCTGGGGTGGCTGATTGTGCCCTACAATGATTTTATTTCTAAATTCATGTACTGTATATCCATAAGTGAAAATAAAATGTCATATTTTCTAACTACTGTTGGTGTCATTCCTATACTTTATTTTGAAAGGAATTTTTTTTATTAGAATTTTAAAAATCTTGCAAAGCAATGCATGGTCAACGTAGAAAAATTTGACAGCATAAGGGAACAAGAAATTTTGTAGCTCCTGAAATCCTACTTTCCAGTTATGCTCGCTTACGAAATTGTGTTTATCCTTATAATAATTATTTCTTAGTTAAAGCCAGGGAAATAATTTAGTAAGGTGTAATGTCCATAAAAAGATGTCCTTTGTTCCACCTCCCTATCGGCATTTGTTTTCCAAAATGATAACAGGCCTCAACTGACGAGTGGGATGATACTGCTTATTGGAAAGTGTCCTCTAAGGCCACAGGGAGGCGACAGAGAGCAGGATGGAACACCGAGGAGACCCTCGCAGGAGGAGCGTGTGGGGGGTCCTGGGCACAGGCCTCCGGGACACGCACCCCCCTCGTGAAGGGTGCCATGCTGCCATGGGCTGCGCCCTGCTCGTCCCGGCCCTCTTCTGCAAAGGGGTTTTAGGTGGCACTGCCACACCCTCCCCGTGCCCCGCCCTCTGCTGTGGTCCACTAGTCGGGGCTCTGCCTGGTGACCTGTGCCTTTGTTCCATGGGGGAAAGGTAAACTATGCTTCCGATGGCTTGATAATTGTTCAGCATGAATGAGATTTCATCAATGCACTCCTAAGCCGCCTCTTTGTGCTCTAAGTCTTCATTTGTGACCCCAAAATGGAAAGCTCTTTCCCATTCAGGGCTCAGTGATGGGCGGGAGGGGAGGAGGGGTAGTGGTGGGGCGGTCCCCCAAGCACCTGACGCAGACTCATCCCTCCGATGGTACAGGGCTTGCTTTTGTGTCCGGATGAGAGCTGAACCCGAGTCCGCCCTGAGGGAAGGAGACAGGCAGGGTTAGGTGTGCTGTGTGGGAAGGGCCACTGGGGAAGCGGCTTAAACACAGGAGGGGCCTCGGGTTCCTCCCTCGGGCTTGCCCAAGAGTCCAGTGCCAGAAGAAAGTAAGTTATTGTAGTACAGGGTAAATTATGATAAACACTTAAAATACTGGGGTTCCCACCTCCCAGGCCTCCAACGTGGCAGCTGCATCGAAGCCAGCAAGGTGGGAGTTGCAGTCCTTTATAACGTCTCGGAAGTGTCCTGTCACTTCTGTCACATTCTGTGCCTCAGAAACAAGCCACTCCATCCTGCTCAGCCCAAGGGAGAAGGGGCTTCGCGGGGCAGGAATACCAGGGGGTGGGCATCTCCGGGGACCATCTTAGACATCTGCTACCATGACCAGCGAGGAGAGAAATGTGAAGGTGTGATGCCACGCTAATGGGGAGGGGACCAGGTGGCCTGCAGGAAGCGGGGCTTCGGCTAAGCCCCAGGCATCCTGCTTGCCCCCCAAAGTGGCAGAGAACAACGGTAACTTTTTTTGCTCGCAAAAGCCTGCAATGTGGGCAGGAGCTCGTGGGCACTGCTCATCAACTCCCACTTGACGGCAGTTGTGCAGCTCAAAGGCTGGCGCCTACAATCACAAGAAAGGCGCTCACTCACCGGTGGGGGGTGGGAGCCAAGAGGAAGCAGACGGGAGCGGGAGGAGAGAGGGACTCGGCAGGCTGCCCGGAACTCCTGGCCCAGGCACGGCCAGGCTGACCTACCATGACCCCTGCTCCCTTCCCGCTTTGGAACGACCCTGCTGTAGGGGTTGCTGCCCCGACTCAATCTAAAGCCTCACTGCTTCCCTCCTGACGCTTTCCGGGGAGGGAGCAGAGCCTGCCCCTTGGAAGCCCCTGTCCTCCCTCCCAATGCCGTCCCTAACTCTTTCCCTGCAATTGCCACAAGCCTTACTTGTTTCTTTACATTTCCTTGCATTTCTTCGCAGTTGAGTAGACACATGGATCCCTACGTAGGTGTACCGTTTACATTCGCTCTCCCTTCATGCCTCACTCCCATCCTCTGGCCTGGGTGGCACACAGAAGCTCCAAGAAAGGGATTTCCCTGGGGGAGGGGCAGCGAAGAAGCTGTGCCGTGTTTAATTATGACTGGTTCCAGGTGAACTGCTAGACGGCCTGTTTGTTCTCAGCACTTCCCTCTATAGATTATTCCGAGCATGAATTTGTACTTGTTTTGTTGGTTTCAGCCAAAGGTCCAAGTGTTCGCCTTTCGCCATTCACCCGTTTCTGTGATGTGTGACTGCTGCCCGTTTACAATTCTAACTGTGCAAAGCTTAAGTACCATCCATTAAAAGATCATGTTACATTTGATGTCCTAACTTAAGCTCCTATTAGGGTTGGGTTTAAACATTGACTCTGAGGTTAGAAAAAAGTTGGCGCAGGTTGTAAGTCATGTGTAGGAGAATTTGAGATGTTCTCGCTGAGCCTCGGGACCGCACATTGTCCTGGCTTGTGTCCAACTTCAGTCCCTGTTGCATTGCTCAGTCATCTCCCCTCTCCACCCCTGTCCAACTTCCCTCCTCCTGGGGAGTGTTCTCACCGTGTTGTGAGCCAGGAATGGGGGCAAGACTCAGCTGGGTGGTTCTTCTGTTGCAAATGGCACTGATGGAGGTCCTCGGTGGTCCTCAGCTGGCTGATGGGTGGGTCTGTCTGGTCCACGCTGGTCTGATGTGTCAGCAAGGACGGCTGGAGGGCAGGCTGTGCTGGTCCAGGAGGCCGGAGCACTTCCAGGTGGCCCTGCAGCACAGTGGCCTCCGAGCAGCTGGGCTTCTCCGGGGCAGCTTGGTGCTGCCTGGGCAAGCGTTCCAGCGGGCCCAGTGGATGCCTGCGTGCCCTTTTGTGATCTAGCCTCAGATGTCAAACAGGGTCATTTCCACCATATTTTATTGGTCAGAACATCACAAGCCCACTCAGACGAAGGAGGAGGAGGCACGGACCCCATCTCTCAATGAGAAGGATGGAAGAGAATCCGTGGTCACACCTGAACACAAGCAAGGATTGCTTTTCTTTCCTTTTTTTTTTGTTTTGTTTTGTTTTGTTTTTAGGTCTTGGACCTGGGCCCTACTGTCTATGGTTGTCTCCTTCAGCTGTTAATCTAGTCACTCTGCACTCATCAGTCAGGCTTAGACAGCTCAGGGTGGGGTGGAGTCCCTCCTGGGTGCAGGGTTATTGGGTCCTCTCATGCTGCTGCCACTCGGGGGAGTGGTCTCTGCCTGAGCAAGATGGCTGCTGCCGTATTGGGGAGGAGTCAGCACTGGGGTCCCTCTGGCTACTCTCTCCGTTTTCTTCCCAAAGCCTCCTTCCCCAGTCTCTCCTCAGATGTCTCCAGACCACTCTGTCCCTGCCTTTGCCAGAGACCAGGATAAGTGGCTGCAAATACAAATTTATGTGTTGGCCCTTTAAACAGCTCTTTGCATCTCCAGCCGCCTGTCTCTGGCAGAGAGCAACTGTGCCGCTTTTTGCAGCTGGCTGTTATCTGTGTACTTTTTGGGCTCTGGTGCTTTAGGCTGGAGATCCCCGCTTTTGGTTTAGTCCCCACTCTTCTCAGAGGGATCCAACTGGTCCTTCCAATATCCGTCTGGTGCTGCCGCCCATGGGCACCCTGCCCATCTTCTCAAGTCTCTACTGCACTTCTTACCAGTTTGGTTGTGCTAAAGCTGATTCTTCTGTCTCTGAGGTTATAAGGCTCCTCTCTCGCTATTGTTCAGTTGTTTGTTCTGGGTGATTTCTCCACAGTTTAGTTGTAATTCCAGGTTGGTCCTGGGAGCAGGTCAGTGTGACTTTCACTCACTCCTTCGCCATCTTGATTATATATTTATTTTTAGAGTGAGGGGAAGGAGAGAGAGAAACATCAATGTGTGGTTACCGCTTATGTGCCCCCCCCCACAGGGGACCTGCCTGGCAACCCAGGCATGTGCCCTCACTGGAAATTGAACCGGCAACCCCTTGGTTCACAGGCTGGCACTCAATCCACCGAGCCACACCAGTCAGGGCTCTTTTCTATTTCTATAGCGGAACAGCCGTGAGTTTACTTTTCCATGTAAAGTAACTCACACAGAAACTGAAGACGGCGGTTTACACGCGCTTTTTCCCTGCGGCACCGGCCCCATGCTGGCTCCCCTATTGTGTTTGTTCAAGGCCTCGGCCAGTGAGAGACACGGAGATGGGCCGACTGCCCAGCACCCCTCTCAGAGGGCAGGAAAGATTCTGCAGCAATTCAGCAGAGCTCCGGCTCTGTCTTAGATTCAGATAATTAGAAATGTTTCTTTCTAACTTCTCTTAGGGAATCTAACCATCTTCTGTTCCGGGTCTCATCCACCACTTTGGTGTGGTTTCACTGGGCACATAAGGAAGTAAACATGGAACAGGTGGTAGAGAAAAGACTGGGTGGATTTTTTTTTTTTAAAGACTTTATTTATTCTTAGAGTGAGGGGAAGAAAGAGAGGGAGAGAGACATCAATGTGTGGTTGCTTCTCGCACGCCCCCTGCTGGGGACCTGCAACCCAGGCACGATGCCCTGGCTGGGAATTGAACCAGCGACCCTTTGGTTTACCAGATTGGCACTCAATCCACTGAGCCACACCAGCTGGGTTCAGACTGGGTGGATTCTCCTCCTCTTCTTCCCTTTCTGTTTTTCCGACATCAGCTTGTATGTTTACAGAAGGAGAGGAAATATTGGATCAAGTGAGAGTCTTTAACACTGCAGCCAGTGAATAACAAAAAACCTACAGATGTATTCGTTTAGGGTTTTCTTTACGATGACAGTTGCTAAAACTTAAATACTTCCCACCTGGCTCCTTACAGCTAAGTCCAGTGTCCTTCTGTTTCCAGTAGAAATAGAAAGTTTTGCGGAGTTGGCGACCAGGCCGTATTGCCATGGTTCCTGTTAAGTGTACAGGGATAGAATGGCCCCTTTTCTCTCCAGCTTGTTGCAGGGGTGGGGGGTGGACAAATGTCCAGATGACTACTTTTGTGAAGAACCTAGAAAACAGTCAACAAAGAATTTTTTTTGAGAGCAGTCTCATTACTTTACTAGCTCAAGGGAATTGTTGAGAAATAGTCTGCCCTTCATGCAGTTCACAGAAACCGGAGCAAAACTGAACTGAAACGTGAGACAGCTCACCTGCAGCTCATTTTTCTATAAGTAGAGGGATTTCATTCATCTGACTTTGGTGAACCAGAGTATTTTGTGGAGGTGACATTTCCATACAACTGGAAAAGCTCAAACATGCTTTCAGACTTTTAAAGGTCATTATGATGTCAGCGTTTTTAAATGTACAACATATTTTCACTCTTTCTCGAATGGGGTGCTGGTTCTCAGCTTCAGCGGTTCCGGGATGTGTCTGCGCTTTGGGGCTTCAGGTTCGCATGGGCGGCGAAGTGGAGACGGCTAAAATGCAGTCACTGTGAGTAAAGCGGTGACCTAGGACATCTGCCCCTACACTCCTGCGGGCCCCTGAGAGCTGGGGCTGAAACACCCCGATGATGCCTGACCCGGGGCGGGGAGGTGGGGCCCACATTGCTGGGGGCGGAGTCTGATCTGTAAGGATTCGGGACCAGACTCTGCGCTGTGTGTTTGCCGTTGAGTGTGCTCACGCTTCAAGCCTTGATATGCAAGGTTTTTCAACACACACAGAAAAAACCTTCTGATGAGAAATCAGAGGATGGACAATTTGGGGTAAATAAATGCTGGCTCATCCATTTTATTCTTTTTAAATCTTTCCCATTGTATTTTTTATAAAAGATTTCATTTATTTATTTTTAGAGAGAAGGGAGGGAAGAAAGAGAGGGAGAGAAACATCGACCTTGCAGGCACCCAACCAGGGGCCTGGCCTGCAACCCAGGCACGTGCCCCGACTGGGACCTGAACCAGTGGCCTTTCGGTTTGCAGGATGATGCCCAACCCACGGAGGCACAGCAGTCAGGGCTGGTTCACCCATTTTAATGGCAAGTGATCTTTTTATAACTGGCCCTCAGCGGAAGCTGGAAGTATTGATAAGATGGCAGTCTGAGACAGCAGCAGAGCTTCCTGATGCCTTAGGAGAATTTGTAGCATGAAAAGAACTTCTTAAAAAGACATCTCTAGCTGATGTCAAAAGTGCTTAAGTGTCTTCAAAGGTGTCTCCACCAACCAACCCAAATGAACCACCCTGACCGCCAGGGCCTCAGGGACGCACAGAATGTTAAAGGAGGAAAGGACCCGCTCGCTGCAGTAAAAAAAGGCAGGAGACATGCGCGTGGTGGATAAAAGCTTTATCATAAATACGGTGTCTTCAGTTACAAGATGCTCTGTTTGAGTTATATACATTTTAGAAAACTTATATACAGATAAATAACTTTAAATGGATTGTAAGTAGTGTTCTTGGTCTTTCCTACACGGACTTGGCCGTCATGCTCAAATACAACAGGAAGTTAGGTGGACTCTTGCCCTCCCAGCGGCCCTGGCTGGTTTTTTTGGTGGCGCTAAGACACGAGGGGCAGGGCCGTCCGCAGCGGCTCCTCCAGCACCCGTGCCAGAGGCCGGCTGGGCTTGCGCGTGGGAGTCGGGGCGATTTTTGTCGAGAGGACTGGTCCTGGGCCCGCAGTGAGGGACCTCGACTTAGAGAAATTCTAATTTCGTGAGTCCCAAATCGAGGCCTTCTTGACGGCCCGTCCAGCCTGTTAGCGAAGAAGAACCCAGCAAACACACAGTCACTGTGACTGAGAAAAGAGGACAAGGTCTGCACCAGGGACATTCCGATCTGTCCTCTCAGGCACTCACTTAAAAAACTCCTTTTCAAACCGATTGAAAAACGATGGCCCTCTCATATCTGGGGGAAAACGTGGCTTCCATTTTATCCCATAAAAATTACAGCCACATTTCAGCTCGCAGTGTGCTCTAATCCGAGGGCTTTCCTAGCATCGAGAAAGCAACTGTCTTTCAGGCTGGCCTTGGACAACCCGCCTCTGTGGTGACACCTAGGAGACAGCCCAGGGAACCTTGGGGGTGGCAGAGGGCCCGAGGGGCCGCCTGGGGCGCAGGGTGGGGGTTCTCCGGGGGGCACCTCCTTCCCCCACGTTCCAGCCTCTTCTTTCTGGACCTGGGAAGATGAGGGGCCGAGAGCTCCTGGGGCCAATACTCGCACAAGCAGCCCAGGCGGTGCCACCTGGAAAGAGCAGCTGGGACACGGAGCGCGCGGCGGCGGCCTCGGGGAGGCCCGCTCTCAGGCCTCGGAGGCTGTGCCTCCGCCCCTCTTGAGGCAGCGCATGATGAAAGCCCCCAGGGCCACCAGGGGGATGCACATGGTGGAGGAGGCCACGAGCAGCCCGATGACGGCCAGGGCGTACGTGGGGTAATCCTTGGTCACGAGCTGGCCCTGAAAGGAGAAGCTGAGCGTCAGCGGCAAGAACCTCCCCAGGCGCCACCTTCTGAGAACATCACGGCCTGCGGGCCCCAGGCCCGGCCGCTCGGCCAGCTCCGCGGCTGGCTGGCAGGCAGGGGCGCTGGGCTGGCGAGCTCCCCTCGTCTGCTCCCTCTTCCACGTACTTCAGCCAGGACCCACAGGACCACTGTTTGGGGGGGGGAGACCCGTAAAGAGTGACCACAGGGATAACCAAGGGCCTAACGTTGGAGGCTGAGGGCAGGGGACCGAGAGGTTGGGGGCGGCCTGGGCTGGCTCGCCGGGCCCTGCTCACGTGCTCTGCTCACGCCACTCACACCATAGGCTAACAGACAGTCTTCCACCCCCTGGGAACGAAATCCAAATTGGCCAGTTCTTCTCTGTGCAACTTATCTGAGGACAACCTGGGCTTGCCAGGACACGCGATGGCTGCCCTGGCTGTTAAAATGCTGCCATGCCAACCTTCTGCCTGGTGGGCAGCTCTGTCCCAGCCACGCCTAGGGCCAGCTGCCCCCTGGGGCAGCCCAAGTGTCCGGGCAAGTCCCGCAGGGCCCAGGAGCCTGCTCCCTGCAGGGTCAGCAGCCGGGGTCGGGGGCCATGCCTCCGGGCTTGCTCAGCCTTTCCTCGGGAGGCCTGTGTGCACTGGACGGAGCCGCGGGCCTGCGGGCCTACAGGCCTGCGGGCCGGAGGCGGGAGGCAGGAGCCCGTGCTTTCTCAGGCGGCCTTTCCCTGCTCCCTAGAGAACACCCACTGGGAATTCTGGAGGGATCTCTGTTTACTGCAATACCTGTTGAAAAGCTCGAAGCCCGGCTCTGCTGACCCGGGCTGACCCTGGGTGACGTTCCCATGTTCTGACAGATAACCTGCCCGCACCACGGCAGGAGCTCCCTGGTTTCAGAATCTAAGGCCCGTGCCCTCCAGGGAGCTTGGGGTCCCAGAGGGGAGGTACCTGGGAGGCGTCCCAGGCTTGGTACTGCAGGGTCCCCGTGAGGATGTAGTCACTCAGGTAGAAGAGCAAGAGGCTGACGATGATGAGCGGGCTCACGAAGGCCCACATGGCCTTCCAGTACCAGTTCAGGGGGCGGCCCGTCATGGCCTGAAGGTCACTTGCAAATCTATTTGGAAAACGGGAGAGAACGTCGGGATTATGCATGCTCTTGGGATGAAGGGGACCCCAGCTTGCACCACTCAAGTCTGATTGCAGCTATGGGGCCTCCCTCTCTGTCCCTTCTGGGGACAGGGGTGCTGGGTATGGGGACGGATGAAGGGCTGAGGCCGTTACAGAGCAGGGGCAAAGCGACCACCCCGCAGAGAAATGGATGTCGGGAGACGTTTTCCTGGGCCAACCTTCACGCGAAGGCTGCTGGCGTAGACCGGAGGGCCGCACCCAGCAGCGGCAGGAACAGGTAGCGCGGGACATCGGTCCAGGTGGCCTCAATGCCAGGGGACCGCCAGGGGACCCCCAGGGGCAGCTCTGCCCCACCCTTCCCGCCCTGGTGTCTGCCAGTAACTCTACTGCCCACTAGAAAGAATCCTAGAGGGAGGCCCGGCTGAGTAGGTCGCTGGTTATAGTGTCGTGCTGCTACACCAGGAAAAGTAGAACAAGTCAGTGTTTCTCACTTCCTTCCTCTCACTCTCTAAAAATCAATACATTTAAAAATTTAAAAAATAAACAAAACACCCCCCCCCCCCAGGGGAATCTCCTGTGTCCCCTGAAACCACAGCAGGTTTTCTGGGTTGGGTGGACAGAGAGCCAGGCCCGGGACTGGAGGCAGAGTCGGGGGCGGGGGAGGGTGCGGTGGCGGTGGTTGGAGCCAGGAGCAAGCGGCCGCCGCCCGCCGCTGTGGTCAGTCACACTGCAGACTGTCTTTCTTTCCTTTTCTTTAAATGGACTCTTTTGCCTAAGTTTAGTGATAGCATCACAGCGCCCATTTTATTGTGGGTTGGACAGGCTAATCAATCACATGCTTTTCAATATACACACAGATCAGTTTGGCAAACGCTGACCTGCCACCTCCCCGTTTCACAGCGGGGAAGCACCGAGGCCCAGGGCAGAGAAGGGGCTTGTTGGAAGGCTCCCAGGGTGTGGCAGACCCAGAACAGGGGCTTTAAAACTGCTCCCCGTGAGGGGAGAAGCAGTCGTGCAGGGAGGGTGGGGGGAGCAGGGTGACTGCCAGCAGCGACCTCCGCCTCCTGCTTCTCCTGGACCCATGGCCTGTCCTGAGTTCCCACATGAGCCTGCAGAGACCTCTGCCTGCCCCTGTGTGGCCGCTGACCTAGCTGGACCCTAGGCCGCGAAGACTCACATGCGTGACGTGAATACCTGGGATTTTTAAGACCACACACGGCAGAGAGTGTTGGGGTCTCTTGCCCCTTTACTTCCCCTGCCCTCCACTTCCCTGGATAGAGAAAGGTGGGAAGAGCGGGCTGCAGAAAAAAAAGGCTGCTAGCCCTGTTGCAAAGTGGCCACGAGATGGCGCTGTCCGCTGTGGGCGCAGAAAGACTGCCCTCTGCTGGTCATTCCCAGGTCTAGCTGCTTGCGGCATCCTCAGGACACGGTGCGTTTCTCACTCCATCCCCATCACCTAGCAATACCCACTCTGCACGGGCTGGTGCCCCTCTCCAGAGCCGGCAAGTGGGCCCTGGGCTCTGTCCCTCTGTCCCCAGCTTTTTCTCTTTACCCTGAAACACCCAGCCTCTCAGATGGCCCACCTTTCTCTCTCTGTAGAAAGGCATTTCCTAGGTGACCAGTTTGTCCCAGGACTTACTTAACCCGGGACTTCCTGGGTTTAGCACTGAAAGCCCCAACATCCCAGGAACCCCTTCTTTCCCAGGAGAAAGGCATGAATCCATGTTACTAGCTGTGGAGGAGAAGTGGGGATGGGTCAAAAGCCATTTCCTGACCACAGAGGTTTTAGAAAGGCTGCAAATTACACATCCCTCTTGGAGAGTCGCAACTGTCTCCAAGGCTCTGAGAAACCTGGCTTTAACTTGTGTCCTGAAGTTATTTGATCATGGAAATCCCTCAGCAGGGCTTCCAAAGAGACAGTGGGAAACCCGGCCGGAGGCCGGCTCCCAGAGGCTGTGGCTGGTCCCCCACCCGCCTCTGAGTCGGTCTGGAAGACGATGAAGGGGTGAGGAACCACCTGGTACAGCCCTTCTCATCAGGCTCACATTCGAGCGGCGATTCCCAGAATGCAAAGGGTCTTGGACCCCTGGAGGTGTTAAAATGCAGGGTCTGACTCAGAGGCTTAGGGGGGCACTGAGACCCTGCATTCTAACACGCTCCCTGATTCTAACAAGCCGCGACTCTGGGACCACACTCGGCGTGGTTCTCACGGGCTCAGCTGGAGCCTGAACCCCATTAGGACCTACCTAACCGCCGCCCTAGTGGCGCCAGAGCCCAGGGTCTGCGTGAGAGCTGGCCCCCAGGTCTGAAAGCTGCTCCCAGCCCGCAGTTCCCAGCCCGGTCACCCACTCTGTCACTGGGAGATGTAAACACTCCAGGGCTGCACTGGGCCCCGGGGTTGAGAACCTCACACCCTGAGTCTGCCCAACGTCTAAGGTCTGAGTTATCAACTGGATTTTGGTCAGTGAGCTTGAAAAATGCTGGTGTTGGTCAAGGGTTAGAGCCAGTGGGGTCCAGCAGGGTCAGCCGGCCCTTTCATCAAAGGTGAGAGCCCGGGAAATAGGGAAGCTGTGGTTGCAGGCACACAGAAGAGGAAGGGAGGCAGAGAATTATCTGTGGTCTGGGGCAGATTCAAGGCCCCGACAAAGGCTGAGCTGAACGTGCAGCGTGCGCTGAGAGAGGGCTTTTCCGGGTGGGGTGCAGGGTGCGGGGTGGGGGTGGCGGCTCCCCAGCAGCTGGGGGCGGGGCCTCCTCACCTCCTCAGTCCATACACATAGCACACGGCCGCGATCTCCACCAGGACGATGAGAAGCAGGGACAGCGTGGCTGCGTAGTCATTGAAGATGTCGAACCAGTAGTTGCCGGCCTCCGTGGTGAACACCATGCCGATGGCACAGCTGACGAGGCACACCAGACCTGGGGCCACAAGAGCACCTGCTCACCCAGTTTTCTGGGGGGCAGCCAAGCCGTGGACGCTACGGGGACTCTGGCTGATCAGCTCCTCCTCGTGGGCTGGGAGAGCTGTCATGGTCTGGCCTCTCTGAATGTGTATACCGTGTGCGTCTGCGTGTGTTTGGGCGTGAGGGAGGGAAGAAGGTGTCCCAAGGAGGGTCGGCCAGTGTCACTGGTGGTAATTCATGGAGCTATCCAGCAGGGGGCACCAGCTCAAGGGAAAAGAGAACGTTGTGGGCCTTCCTGAGGGGGGAGCTGGCCCAGGCTGAGTCTCCTGATACCATTTATCTCAACAACTCAGTCCCTGAGCTCATGGGAGGTGCACTGGGACAGGAGATGCCAGCTGCTGGGTGACCCTCAAAGGACTTCCTGGCGAGGATTCCTGTCTGAGCAGAAGTGGGAGGGCGAAGGCAAGAGAAGACTCCAATGTTGACTCCGCTCCCACTCTGTCCCAGGCACTGAGTCCGTGAGCCTCTGAGACGGGTCACGGGAGCCCCCGTGCAGAGGCGGGGAAGCCCAGGCTCAGAGACGCTGAGTAGCTTTCCCCGTGTCGCCCAGCACATAAATGGCGGAGTCAGGATTCAGACACAGGCCCCGCGTCCTTCAGGATCTGGGTTCCTGTCCCGGTCTCCTTCGCCTGCCTCTCTGGGGCACCCCATGCAGTATCTGACTCAAGCTCCCACCTGCCCGTTCTACGGCTCCACCACGTACCACCCGCCACCACGCCCTGTCCCGTGGGGGACACACGGGAGGACGGGGTAGCAGGACTTCAAGGAGATGGGACGGGAGCTGGGTTGGGAGGAGGGACATCCTGGAAGTGGAGGGACAGTGTCATCAAAGGCAGGGGAGGGGCCCGCAGGGTTAGAGTGGAGCAGGTGGGTGGGGGGGTGATTGGAAAACTGGTTCCTTCCCAACAGCCCTGCTGCCCTCCAGCGGCAGAGCTGCAGACCAAAGGTGGTGTCTGCTCTTACGATGACCCATCACACGGGCAGCACAGGGACAGACAATTGCTGGTCGCAACCATGTGGGTGGGTCTCAGAGTTTGCGTGAAGACAGCACCCACAGAGTCCGTACCGTGTGACGTCATGTTTGTGAGTCAAGAAAGGGGGAAACAAACACCCAATGGTGGCTGTGGGAACACAGGGGACTTTGGGAGCGGGGATGGGCTCTCTAGAGCGGGAGCGAGGCTCTGGGTCCGGACCTAGTGGTGGTCACTTGGGCGGACACACATGTAAAATTCATGGAGCGTGGGCTTCAGGAATGTACTCGCTATAATTGTTATGCCTCAACTGAACAAAAGCGGCTTCTCTCCTAGACCGGAGCGGTCTGGGCGCCGCGTTGGGGAGTTTGGCCTCTTCCCAAGGCTGGGGTGGCCAGGGCACGTCCCCGTGGGGTGCAGAACCACATGCACAGGGTGAATCACACGTGCCAGGGCCCAGGCTGCCCAAGAGGTGGAGAAGGTGAGGCCACCATGGGTGGCCACAGCCCCCGTGGCCACTTCTGCAGGAACAAGGCCCCTGTCCATCGGTTTGTCCTCACATCCCGCCCCCCGCTGCAGTCCCGCCGCCTTCCCCAGCCTGCCACCTACCCGAGATGGCCTCCTTGGGCAGGCGTCTGGAAATGGCCTTGCTGTCGGTCAGCGGGGTGAGGATGGCGGCCGTGTTGCCCAGCATGCTCCCGATGCCCAGCATCAGCAGCATGAAGAAGTACAGCACCGACCACAGCTGGGACACCTCCATGTTTTTAATGGCCTCGGTGTAGACGATGAAAGCCAGGCCGGTGCCCTGGACTGCCTGCCCACGGAGAGAAGACCCCAGTTACACACGCAAGGGGCGACCGCTCCTCAAACACACCCGAGGACGGCCGGCGGCAGGGTTGGGGGTGGGGCGGGGAGGTGCCGTGGAGCTGCTGCGAGAGGCCGCACACCGGGGCTGGATGTCCCATCTGTAGACCAGCCCGCGGGCTCGGCTGGGCAGACAGAGATGGGAGCTGTCAGGAGTCCATACGTGTGAGGAGGCATTTCCGTCAACTGGGGACACCAAGTTCCTCTCTCCTGCCCCAACTCACATAAATTCTGGCTAAAACATCATAAAACAATGTTTGGGTAATTTCTGCTTCCGCCGTCGCGACTGATGGGTGTTGGAGGCCTCGGGGGCTGGCGGCTGAGGCGGGATGGCAGGCGCGCACTGGCGGGGGGCGGCCGGGCCAGCAGGCAGCAGGGATGGGCAGGGCGGCTCGCGGCTGGGTCCCTGCGGTGGGGACACTGTGGGGGGACACGGAGCCTGGAGCTCCTGCTTAAAGACACCCCCCCGTCCCCAGAGGCAGGGGTTGAAAGGGGTCATGCCTGCTGTGTCCCCTGGCTACCAGCATCAGAAGACCAGGAGCAAGCCCTCTCTGGGGGAAAGGTTCCCTGAGGGGGGCCCCCAGGGCGCCCAGAGACAGTGAGCTGCGGAGATTTACAACCCCCCCGAGCAGGTGAGCCGCTATGACTGAGGAGTCAGCAGGAAAAGAAAAGGGGACTAGGAGCGCCCTTCCCAAGAGTAGCCCACGTTGGGATGCCACATTCAGAATAGAAACAGGCTCAGTGACATTCCAGCGGGGACCGCGGGCCTGTCAGCTCTGGGTGCAGGCCGTGGAGGTCCCACTCGTAGAGAATCTACAGATACCAAACCGACTGAAGTTGACCTGCTTTTTATGATTATTATGAGCTGACAATTTTCAGCCCTGTCGGTAATAAAACTCTCCTCCCCACCGAGGGCGACGGGTCTCCCTCCAACCCCTCCTCCCCCCATCCTCGGCCCTTCCCGCTACCACCAGCCAGCTCCGCAGGGTGTATTTAAAGAAACAAGAGCTGGAATTACCAAGACACACAGACATGGGAAACTATTGGAATGGAAAGCGACCATACCCGGACCCACAGACCCAGGATGCCCACCCCCACCCTCGTCCCCACCCTCGTCCCAGGCCAGGGTGGAATGAATGAAGACACACCCAGGCTCAGACTGCAGAGGCCGAGGACAAAGGGGGGCTGAGGAGAGGAATCAGGGAGGACGACGGGGGAGCCAGGTGGCGACAGAGGAGGAAAGCGGAGGGTGTACTTCAACAGCAGGACTGGAAGCCAGAATCACAAGGGAAGTGTCTTCAAAGTGTTGAGAGCAAATGGCTGTCAACCTGGAATGATCTACTCAGGGGAAAACTGTCTTTATTTTTTAAGATTTTATTTATTTTTAGAGAGAGGGGAGGGAGGGAGAAAGAGAGGGAGAGAAACATCAACAGGTAAGAGATACGTCTACCAGTAGCCTCTCGCACACCCCGCACCGGGGACCTGGCCTGCAACCCAGGCATGTGCTCTGACTGGGAATTGAACGGATAACCTCTCGGTTCACAGGCCGACGCTCAATCCACTGAGCCACACCAGCCGTGGCAAAGCCATCTTTAAAAAATGGGGGCCAAACAGAAGCCAACTCACAGGGACAGAGAACAAACGATGGTACAAGATGGAGGGCTGGTTGGGGAGGTGTGTGAGAAAGGGGAAGGAGTCAAGAGGTACAAATTACCAGTTGTAAAAGTAGTCACAGGAGGGAAAGTCAGCATAGGAATATAGTCAGTAATATCGCAACAACTACGCATGGTGCCAGGCGGGCCCTGGAATTACTGGGGTGATCGCTTTGTACGTCATGTAAGTGTCTAATCACCATGCTGTGCACCTGCAGCTAATATAACATTGTATGTCAACTCTAATTGGAAAATAGATTAATTTCTGAAAGTGGGGGCCAAATAGGGATATTGACATGTAAATAAAGCCCGACAACATTTCTCATTAAAAACCTGCTGTAAAGAAGCGCATTTTAAGGGGGAAAAAGCAAACCCCAGAGGGTGGCTGGGCCGCAAGAACAAATGGTGAGTAAATATGACAGCTAATGAAGGTAAACACAAACACCATCTGTATAAAGTACCAATAATATCCAATTTATGAGTTTAAATATGGCAGAGCTGGACAAATGTGGCATTTAAACCAGGAGGGAGGAGGTGAAGGTGCTCTGAAGTCAAGACAGTATTTAACTTTAGGTTTTAGTAAGTTCAATAGGCATGGAAAATTTTCAAGGAGAGAAATGGAGTATACACATTCCAAACAGTGGAGAATGAAGTGGAATGAGGAAAAAAATCCACAACAGGGGAAAAGCAGTCTAAATAAATCAATAACCACATGATTCTTGGACATTGAGCCAATGTCCAAGTAAGCAAGAAAGACTCCCAGGTGCCAAGAACATTGAGGAAATTTGAACCTGAACAGGAGCTAAAGCCAAAGGCCTCAGGGGCCAGTTGAATGGGAGGGACCTAGGCCCTGAAGGCTGGGGGCCTGGGGACAGAGGGTCAGGGAAGCAGACAGCCAGGAGGAACAAGCGTGGCCTCGTCCACTACAGACAGACCGAGGGTGGCTCCACCCTCAAAGGAAACAAAGGGAACCCTCAAAGGAAACAAAGGGCCAAGGCGCCTCCCAGGTAGCTCCCCGGCAACCACAGCGAGGGGCCTCCGCTGGTCTCTATTCTTGTAAAATGTTCTCCCGAGACACTCTCTAGAAGTAGTCTCTAGGAGCATCAAATATAAGAATTAGACAAAGATGCCCACTCTCATTTCTGCTTCCGCTGTGCTGGAAGTCCTAGCAAATACAATAGGAAAAAGAGAAAGCGAGGTAAGGGTTGAAAAGATAAACACAAGCAGGTGATTTAGGAGTTCACACAGAAAACGGAAGTACGTATATAGACAAATAGAAGAATCAATAAGAGAATTCATCAAGGTTGCTAGATACAAGATCAGCATACCAAAACCTTTAGCTCTTTCGCAACAAAAATAAGCAATGATAGAAAGAGGAAAGAAAGACACCATTCACAATAGCCACAAAACAGTAAGGTGCCTAGATTAAAAGCTAATAAAAGATGTGCCAAGATATTCAAGGAGAAAATTAGCTGAAGGATATAAAAGAAGACCTGTGTGTGTGATGAAATAATGTATGTTCCTGAATCAAAAGTCACAAAAAGCCCTGAATCAAAAAAAATATTAATTCTAGCCAATTTACATTTTAAAAAAATCAATGCAATTCTAGAAAAAATTCCTAAAGGAATATTGTCTCTCAGTGGAACTTGTCAAATTCATCCTAAAATTAATGTGAAAAAAAAGGGGTCCCAGCAGAGTAAAGATAATTCTGTAAAATATAAATAAGGATCACTTTAGCAGCAATTTTTTTTTCAAAAGCCAAATATCTAGTAGTGAGGAAATAAATAGATAAATCGTGATGTAGTTGTGTGGTCCAATAAAATGCAGCCCGTAAAATGAGTTAGGAGGTTCCACACATATTATGGACGGATCTCGAAAATAGAATGTCGAATGAGAAAGGTATTCCCCTAGACCCCTTATTTCCGTATACAACACTGCCAACAAAACAACAATATTTAGAGATGTACATGGGCAATAAAAATGTCCACATGAAGAACTTGTCTCTGCTGAGCAGGGAGAGTTTGAAGCCAGCCACAGCGCCCTTTCATTCTGTCTCTAAAACATTCTTTTCTTTTATATATATATATAAAAAAAAAACCTGAACCCCAAATGACACATGTTTACAATTGTTCATTCAGGGTGCTTGTTATATTATTCTTTGTCCTTTCCTGTCCTCTCAAAATTTAAAGGGAGGAAAGGGAAAGGAAGGCAGGGCTCATGAACCTCAAGGCACTTCACAACAACTCGGGCTCAGGCACGGCCAGGATGCGGGGGTCAGGTCTCCCTTTTCCTAGGGGGCGCGGGGCACCGAGTTCTGTCCTCAGCGCCTTAGCCTTACCGTGTCCAGCTCCGCTTCCAAGCTGCAGTTTTTCATCTGCGGGAACACCTCGCTGTATCTGCCGGGGTAGGTGGAGGCCAGGTAGCTCTTCACCTGCTCCAGGTTGCTGGCTGTCAGAAAGCCGTCTTCCAGGTCGAAAGAATTGGTCAGCAGCAGAATCACCCTGCAGAGCACAGCGTCAGGTGGACCTCCACTGATGAGAAAGCTGAACGTGCAACACCAACCGACCGCCCACCCCCCCAGGCTTGGGCACCAGCCTGTAGCCCTGCCTGTTCTTTTCTGATTGGGTGAGGTTCTCAACAGGAGGAAGGAACCTGTTGATTGACGACCTTTTAAATGGTGAGGTATTTTGAATAGCTTTGAAGAAGCCTCAGGTGGGAACAGCGATGACAGGAGGAACCCACCCGCACGGGGGCGAGGCTGTTCTAACCTCGGACCCACACCGTCCCACAGAGCATCCGAGAGGACGGGAACGCCTCCCACCTGTGCCGCCCGCGGGGTACCCACGAGCCCATGTGCACCAAGGAACTGGCTTAAATCAAAATCTAAACTAGTTTAAATACAATTTACATTTACATTTGTAAACAGCCCCTTGGGGCTTGTGACGCACTGCTGGACAGTGTATCTCCTGGGTGTTTTCTGTATTTCAGTAACATTACAGAAAGCAGATCTGTCATTTCTGTGGCTCGGCGAGGGAGCGCTTGGTTGTTTTTGAGGTGGGAGAGGCAGGGCAGAAGAAACTCAGCAAGGGGGTGCCCCTGGCCCCATACCCTTGACCTCTTGGCATCACCCTCTTCCCAGGAGGCCCTTCAGCCCGAGCTTTGAAGGCCGGGCGGCCCGTCGAGGCCCGAGGCGCTTACTTGTTCAGGCAGCTTTCATAGTTGAAGGTGGCCTTGAAGCCGTAGATGGAGAAGGTCACGATGCTGGCGAAGATGGAGGTGGAGCTGTTGATGAGGGACACGATGATCGCATGCCTCTGGCAGTTGCTGGAGGGCTCGTTGTAGCTGGCGAAGGCGATCAGGCTGCCGAAGCCCAGGCCGAGCGAGAAGAAGATCTGGGTGGCCGCGTTGACCCAGGCCTTGGGGTTGGCCAGCTGCTCCATCTGGAAGGCCAGCGGGGATGGGACAGGGCGGATGAGCCCGGGTGGGGTCCCAAAGTCCCAGGTCAGGGGCAGGAGGGGGCCTGGAGAGGCGGGTGGAGGACCGTGCCCGCAGCACGCAGCCTGCCAGAGGCCGGCCAGGACTGGAACCCAGCGTTCCCAGCCTCCTGCTGGTGCTGCGGCCCTGTCTTAGCGGGCGAAACACGTCCCTCCTGTCCTGTCCTCCACAGCTCCGCGCCCGCAGGGGCGTGCCATTGAAAAGTGGGGGGTAGCCCTGGCTGGGGTGGCCCAGTGGCTGAGCGCCAGACTGAGAACCAAAGGGTCGCCAGTTTGATTCCCAGTCAGGGCACAGGCCTGGGTTGCAGGCCAGGTCCCCAGTGGGGGACGCTCAAGAAGTAACTGCACATGGACGTTTCTTTCCCTCTCTCCCTCCCTTCCCCTCTCTCTAAATATAAATTTTTAAAAAAGTGTGGGGTAACATCGCTGTAAAAGGAAGTGAGCCCTGGTCTGTGAGGCAGGCACTGCACGGGCCTGGGCCACCTCCAGAGGCGGGGGGTGAGGTCTGGTGGTGGAGTCCACGTCTGACGTCTGGGTTGAGCCCCCGCAATGCACTGGTGGTGAGGCACTTGAGGGGAGGAGGCTGCTAGCACAGTTATTTTGTTTTCAGAGGCCAAATTTGCTCAATTAAGACTCTGTCCTGCCTGAAAAGGCAACAGTGATGGCGACTGGCTGTGGGTGCGGGCGAAGGACCGCGGAAAACCCTGAAGAATGGGGACTTGCCCCTGTAGGCAAAGCGGTGCCTGGAAGTGGCCAGCAGGAGACCGAGAAGACTAGAGTGATGCTCAGGGCAGATAACTCAGCTCCCGGCTGGAAGGAGGGGCGACTGGGGCCAGGAGGCCAGGCGTGGGGCCGGGCAGCCGCTGGCGGGGGTCGGCGAGGACCAAGAGGGCGAGTGGACAGAAGATCCAATGCCTGAACCTTGGCCAATGTGGCTTAATTGGTTGGGGCGTTGTCTCATGAACTGAAAGGTCATGGGTTCGATTCCCAGTCGGGGCACATGCCTAGATTGTGGATTCGATCAATGTTTCTCTCTCTCTCACATTGATGGCTCTCTCCCTCCCTTTCTCCCTCTTTAACATCAGTGAGTGTGCCCTTGGGTGAGGATTAAACAACAAAAGACTCAATTCCTGAGAGTTCACAGGGCTTGGGGACAGCCTGGCTGAGGCAGTGACTCAGGCCCCTCGGGTAGTCCATGCCCTCCCCTCCCCCGCCTGGAGGGCCCGCACCAGCCTCTTGGGCACTGGGCAGCTTTCCCCCTCCCCGCCCCCGCCCTCTCCCTGAGCTCTGGATGGTGGCAGGATGAACGGAGCGCCCTCAGGGGCCCTGTTCCTCAGCCCCTACCTTGGGCGTGAACATGTATGCCAGGCCGTTGGTGGCTCCGTGCAGCGTGAGGCCCCTGACCAGGTAGATGATGAGCACACAGTAGGGCAGCGACGCAGTGAAATACACCACCTGTGGGCACCAGAGGGCAGAGTCAGCTTCCTGGAGACCCGGTGACCACGGGTGGGGCCCTGGTTGCCCACAACAGACCGGCTGTCCCCAGGAAACCCCACCCCGGAGGGGCAGAGAAGGGTTCAAGGAACGTCAGCCCCAGCAGGAGTATAAGCCCGGGAGGAGGCACCCAGGAGAAAAGGCGTATGACTCAGCCCTGGTGATGTAGCGGGGCCGCTGAAAGCAGCTTCGCGCAGAGGGTCCCAAACTGTGCTGCGTGGCAGGAGCACCTGGCGAGCTTTCAAAGCCCCGCGCTCAGGCTGCTGAGTACCCAATGCTGAGTACTCGGGAACCTCTGGGGGTTGCTACTTGGGGAGTGTGGGTTTGGGGCTGGCTGGTACAGAAACGCTCACCTCCCTAGGTGGAGGCAGGGGGTGAGTCCTTGTGTTGAGATTTTGGGCTGTGACCCCAAGCACCTCTGGCCACCTTTACAGTCACCTAGCAGGTGGCCTGTGCCAGCACGGCGCCCATGCCTCCCCCAGCGCAGCTTCTGCCCCTCGCCTGCCTGCGGAGGGCAGCCTCGCGGCCCCGCCGGCCTTGGCCCCGCCCGCTCCACCAGCCCACCTTGCCGGTGGACTCGGTGCCCCTCAGGATGCACAGGTAGACCACGAGCCAGGCCAGGACGAGGCACAGCGCCGGCTCCCACTGCACGCTGCCGGTCTCCTGGATGGACGGCGAGATGTTGAGGGTTTTCCTGTACCAGAAGTACTGCGTGGAGGACGCCTGCTCACACTCCTCGTCGTAGCCCGTGTGGTTGCCGTTCAGTGGGCAGAGAGACCACGGCAGGGGGTCCTGGGGGTCAGCGCAGCGTTATACAGAGAGGTGAGGGCTGAGGCCAAAGGTCGGGGTGGGGAGGACGGGGCGGGGGGTGGCCCTGACAGGGGGCTCTTGGAACAGAAGGAGGCTCGTCCCCAAATGCCAGGCAGCTGGAGCCCCTGAAGGCAGACAGGGGAGGGTTAGTCAAGGGCACAGGTGGGGCTTGGGAATAGGCGAGAGGTGGGGGGTCGGGGGGAGGTTCACACTCCTTACAACCTTACCGCTGTTGGTTGAGGACCACCAGACTCTACTGTGGGCCCAAGGGGCTGAACACACAAACAAATAAGGGCCGGACCGTCTGTGACAACAGAACTCTGACCCATACCAGCCCTGACTGTCCCCGGGGGGGAGGGGGGCCCTGCCCTCCTGCTCCCGCCCGGCTCTGGCCGCCCACTCACCTGGAAGGAGTGGAAGAGGTACCAGAAGCCCCAGGCGTTGATGACGTTGTAGTACATGGACAGGAAGAAGGAGACCACCACGCTGGCGACGCCTGTGCCAAAGCAGAGGGTGCTGAGGACGTTCTGCCTGCCCCCGCCTGCCGGGCCCTGGCAGCCGCGGCCCCTCCGCTGCGCCCAGGACACCCCTGCAGTGACGCACCGACCCCCCGCCCCTGCCCCGGTGGCAAAACCCCTGCAGCAGGTCTGTGAGAGGCTCGCGGTGATCAGGGCCCACGAGCACCACCAAGCGCTTGTCTCTCCCTCCACCTCTCCCCGTCTTCTGGGACGGGAGGCTGATGACATTTTGGGGAGATCTGAGCAGCAGCTGCTGCGCTGAGAACTTTAGGCACCGCAGGCCCTCACCACGGTGCTGTGACGTGGGCGTGACTACTTCCCCTGCACTGGGGGACGAGGAGGCCCAGAGCTCACTCGAGTGTCCCCCCAACCCCACCCCAGGCAGGACTAGGATTCAAACCTTGCGTTAGACGCCCTTTGTCGCTGCCAAGTACCCCTGGTGCCAGACTTTACGGCTGCTCCCTCTTCGGGTCACCTGAAGTGAGGCCAACCCCTGCCCTGTGGTGGCCGGGAGCAGGGGGTGTAGGGACAGGAGGGAGGCTGTCCCCTGCCTGGTCAGGTGTGCGGGGAACCCAGGGCCGGGAGTGGGGAGAGGAGAGCGGAGCAGAGGAACAGCTGGCAGCTGGCGGTGCTCTGGAGCCAGGCCACAGCACCCCCAGCCGCTGTGCGCCCCTCTGCCGACCCCAGGCTCAGGGACTTCTCACGAAGTAGTTTGAAAGTGATCCTGGTGTTGTATTTATATCACGGTATCAGCAAAAGCTGCAGGCCAGGCCTTCCCCCACTCCACCCGGAGAGCGGCTGTTACACATTCACCGGCGGCTGGCACAGCCATCTGGCCTCTTCTACTGCACAGCAAGGGACGCCTCGGAGAAGCCCCCTGGGATTGCTCGCTCAGGCACATCGTCAACCACACACCTCCGCGCTAAACATTAACAGCCATTCGACACGGGGTGGCAGTTCGGGTTAGGAGATGACTCGTGAGGACACGGGACACGTTTCTTTGGCACCTGAGGCAAGTCGCGTACAAATTTACACCCTCCTTGCCCCCGAAATGTCACTCTGCCTTCCTGTCTGGGGCGGGAGGGTGGGCAGGACAGAGCACGCCCATCGCCGGTTAAAGTTCCTCCTGCTGACAGCGGCAGCCCAGGAGCACGAGGGCGAGGCCAGTTAGCCACGTTCCCGAGGCGCGCGGGACACCGGCGCCAGGGAGCCCTGGGCAGGCCGGCTGTGGGGCTGCGCCCCTTACCGCCCACGTGTGCCCAGCTTCTGTTTGACATCCTGCCAACCTCTCAGTGGTGAGAAGAAGATTAAATGAGCCTATGCACATATACTGTGCAGCTAGCACCTGGCACACAGTAGGTGCTCACTGACAGGGGACGCCGTTACTGAGAGACAGCAGGGGCCAGTTCCCAGGATGCTTGTTAGCTCAGACCCTGGCTCACAGCTCCATCTGGGCGGCCGTTTCCTCATTGCAGACAAACCTGAGGTCCAGGGAAGCGACGTGGTCTCAGTTTCCACCCGCACCTCTGCCCTTTCTCACTGTCCTGGGGAAGGGAACCAGCCCTTCGCAGCCCATATTCTAGGGCAGCCTCTCCTGGGCCACCTGTCCACCCCACTCAAGGGCTCTCTCTTGGCCTTGTGCTTGCCCTTTGCTCCCAGCCACACCCAGCTGCTCAGGATACAGGAAGGGGGTCTCCCGGGGCGGGGGAGGGGGATGACTGGAGAGCGCCCACGTACCGACACCGCTCAGGTAGGGGCTGATGGTCCTCCAGGCGCCGATGCTGCCCTGGCGCATGCGCTGTCCGACGGCCAGTTCCAGGTACAGGAGCGGCATTCCCTCCACGATGAGCATGATGACATAGGGCACCAGGAAACTTCCTGTGGGCACCCAGAGCCGACAGCCAGGTTATTACCAATGGGCCGCACTCTGCTGCCCACCTAACCATTCTGCCAACGTCCTTCCATCCATCCTCCCTTCCTCCCTCCCATCTTTCCACTTGTCCATTCATCCCTCTATCTTTCTATTTACCTTCCACCTTTCTGCTTTCACACTCTTCCACCTTCCCACACATCCACCTTTCCATCATTCCTCTCACCCATCTATCATCTATCCACCCACCCATCCTACCATCCATCCATCCACCCACCCATCCTACCATACACCCACCCATCCTACCATACACCCACCCATCCTATCATCCATCCATCCACCCACCCATCCTACCATCCATCCATCCACCCACCCATCCTACCATCCATCCATCCACCCACCCATCCTACCATCCATCCATCCACCCACCCATCCTACCATCCATCCATCCACCCACCCATCCTATCATCCATCCATCCACCCACCCATCCTACCATCCATCCATCCACCCACCCATCCTACCATCCATCCATCCACCCACCCATCCTACCATCCATCCATCCACCCACCCATCCTACCATCCAACCATCTACTCACCCATCCTATCATCCATCCATCCACCCACCCATCCTACCATCCATCCATCCACCCACCCATCCTACCATCCATCCATCCACCCACCCATCCTACCATCCACCCACCTACCCACCTATTCATCCTTCTCTCTTTGCTCTTTTCTACTCATCCACCCATCTATCTCTTCAGCCATCCATCCATGGGTGACATGCGACCATGTCAGTGAAAATCTTACACAATGTCATGCTGCAGAGCACATCATACCCTTACTGTATGTTTAGGGTATATTTTATTGCATGCACAGATTTCATTTTTTGCTCGCATGTTATTTGGAATTTAGATCCACACTTCCTTACGTAGTTTTTTTGTTATCAACTCTAGTAAAATGAATTTAAGGGCTGGACTAGCCACATTGAAACTGGATGCAACTTTAAAAGAAGAGATACATCATGTAGCACATGAAGCTTTTATTCTTCTGGTCTCCAGAGGAATATACAGGGAATAAACCTTCATGTGGCTGATGAACAGTCACCTAGGTGGGTGCATCTGAGCCCATGGGCTAGATTTTAATACTTAAAATCTAGCCTCCAAGAATTGGTAATAGCGACTGTCTTCCTCAGTAACCTAAACCTCCTAAGATAGTTTCTTAGACTTTTTACTTATTTTTATTTTTTAGAGAGGGGGAAAGAAGGGAGAATGAGAGGGGGAGAAACATCGATCCAGGATGAACCTACAACCTAAGCATGTGCCCTGACCAGGGATCGAACGAGCAGAACGGCGCCCAACCCACCGAGCCACATCCATCTGGGCTCAGCCGCCATTTAACGGTTCAGGGTCCCAGGCCTCATATCTTCAGAGATAAGGTGGGGGCTTGCTGTGTATGTGTGGGGAGGCAAGGGGGCCCCCAACAGACACAACCTAGGCTACCACCGCCTTTTACGGAGCACCTCTATGTGCATCTGATTTATTTAGTAGCCTTCAGCCTAAAATTTCGTTTTTAATGAAATGTGACTGGTATCAAAGTTAAACCCACAGGTTTCTAAGGAGCCACCTGCAGGCAAGTGTCCTGGGTGACACTGGGGAGCCAGAGAGTGTCAGTAGAGCTACAGACGCCCTCCCCACTGCCGGACACACGGGCAGAGCCAGGCAGCCTGCTGGGGGTGTGGGTGGGGGCACCCACATCTGACACCACGCCCTTCCGTGCAGAGGCCTGACCCACTGCTTCTCCTGCGGGTCCCACCCCCTCCTCCTCTGGGAAAAGGGGACGGGACTTCTGAATAAGCTAAGAACCTCAAGGCAACAGCTGCAGGGCTTAGGGATGGTTACAGAAGGAACCGGCTCTGAAAGTTTAAGGGAAACAATGAAATTCATATATGCTTACGTCAACACCCAGCATTTACAAAAGCGCCGCCATTGTGCCTGCAGGCTGTCCTGGAACCCAGGGACCTCCCAAGTGCTCTCCCGACACCCCTGTCCCTGTGCATCACCCCTGACGTAGCTACATAACAGTCCACTAGGAAAAGGGGCCCCGGAGTCATTCCCATCAGGCCTTGGACACCTAGGCTGCTGTCGGTTTTCTGCCGCCCCAAACCAAGCTGCGGGACAGAGCCCGGTCCACGTGTCTGTTGTTTCCTTGGGGTGGACATCCCAGCAACAGCGGCAAGGGTCGGGGGTGGGGGGAACCTGACCGTGCGGGAGCCCCCGGGGGCTGTCCAGCCGCAGACAGAGAGGAGAGCTCGTTCCCCGCACCATGAGCTCTCAGCATCCACAGCTCCTCGGGCTCAGAAATGTTCCTGTCCCCCGTTTCCGGCCCCCGGAGCCGCTGCCAGGCCATGCCCCCTTCCTGCCCTGAGAGAGGTGTCTTGGCACCTTCCCAGGCTCCTCTCAATGGCAAGGAGTCCACTGCGGGGGGTGGGGGGGATCCCACCCAAGATACCCCTGACAATAAAGACTGTGTTGACACAAACTGCTTGGAGCTACAGTGGTCATAAGAAAAGCTCATTTTTACCTGAGGTGTTAAACAGTAACTGCTAGAGGCCTGGCAAGGTCCACGGAAGGTTTGTCTCTTTGACAGGGGCTGCCCGATGGCCCCAGCTTGATGGCTCGCACCCGGCGGGGGGTCTGAAGTCCCAGGCCTGGCGCTGGTGGTAGCATGGGGCTCTGCCGCCCTGCCCGCCGCAATTCCTGTCACCCTTCCCGCCCCCCAGCCACCCAAACCAACCCACACATCTGGGGCATTTGCTCTGCAGCCATTTTTTTCCCAACAACCAGAACATGTGAACATCCGTATGCAGAAAAAAACGAACTTCAACCCATAGCTCACACTGTAGACCAAATAAAAGCGCGCCCCTCAAAATGGATCACAAGTCTGTATGGACAACTCAAAACTATAAAACTTCGAGAAGAAAACACAGGAGAAAATCCTTCTGACCTCAGGTTAGTCAACATCAAAATGTGTCCTAGAGACAACCTCAAAGGCATTTCCTGTGAAAGAAAACATCGACAAGTGGGACTTCCTTTAAAATTCTGCTCTGTGAAAGGCAGTGTAGCAAGAATAAAAAGACAAGCTACAGGTTGGGAGAAAATATCTCCAAGACACACATCTGATAAAGACTTTGTATGTAGAGTACATAAAGGACTCTCAAAACTCAGTAATGAGGAGAAAAAGAACCCAATGAAAAAAATGCACAACACATTTGGGCAGTCAGTTCACCAAAGGCGCTATATAAATGGCAGATTAGCCCATGAAAAGATGCTCAACATCAGTGTTAAGAAAATGCACACCCAAGCCACAGGGAGCTGCCATTGCACATCCTATGAGAATGGCTAACATCAGAGATGCCAGGTGCACCCTTCTAGTTGCTGGGTGGGGTCCTGCCCGATTCATGAATCACATAATAAAGCCAATTGGATGTTTGAAAGAAAGAAATGCTGACAATACCACGTGCTGTGAAGCTTTGGGCGACTCCCAAAGTCGCTGGTGGAAATGTGAAATGTTGCAGCCTCTCTCGAGAGCAGTTGGGTAGTTTCTCATGAAGTTAGGCACACGCTTACTGCACAACCCAGCAATTTCAGCCCTGGGTGTGTACTCTGGAGACACGGACACTCATGTTCACGCAAAAGCCCACACACAGGTGTTCATAGCGGCTCTCCTCAGAGTTGCCCAAAACTGGAAACAGCCTTCGATGGGGGAACGGGTAACAAACGCTGGTACATCTGAGTGGGGAATACTACTCAGCAGTCAAAAGGAACGAGCTCTTGGTGCTCCCAGCAACATGGGAGAATCTCAAAAGCATTACGCTAAGTGAAAGGTGCCAGAAGCAAGAGGTGACACTCTGTGGGATTCCGCGCATATGGCACTATGGGAAAGGGGACACCATCGGGACAGAAAACAGATGTGAGGGTAGGGGAGGGGTGAGGCCGGCATTGACATTCAAGGGCACGACTGTGGTGGCGGTAGCACAACTGGGTGCACTTGGACACCGAAAAAAGGAAATGTTTCTGCCTGTGAATATGTGTCAATAAAAAAAATTTTGTTTTGCAATCCATTTGAAAACAAGTCCACTAACCATCCCTCTTCTCACGGGACTGTTCCCCAGGCTCCTTTGATGTAAAAATCCGGACATGGGCCCTGCTCTAGGAGACCCTGGCTTCAGGGAGAGGTAGACAGAGGCCCTTCTGCGATGGGAACCAGGGGTCAAACACGCCACAGTCTGTGCAGCCGCTCTGGGAAGAGGCGGAGCCGGCGGCCCCGCCTGTGAATGCAGGCTGGCCTTGGACTCGCTTTGTCTAGTGGGATGTGGGGAAAAGGAGGCCACCACGGTGGTCCCAGAGGCCACGCCCCGGATGCCTGGTAACTCTGCCTTCATTCTCATGGAACAGGGCCTGAGGCCACCTCGTACGGAAGCAGGTTCAGCAACATCCGGACAGAGGAAAATCGAGGGCTCCGCCAACCTGGCACCGACTGTCAACGTGTGAGGGGTACCGCCAAACAAGTAGAGAAATGTACAGCCCACCTGAGCACTGTGAGAAATAACTAATTGTTGTTGTAGCCATTTTTTTTGTTTGTTTTTTAATACTTCAGTGTGTATTTCCTAGAAAAGAGGACATTCTCTTACATAGTCCCAGGGCAATCAGCAAAAAAAAAAAAAACAAAAAAAACCCCCAAAAAAACCCAAAAAACCGCTGAGTCCTGGCTGGGCAGCTCAGTTGGTTAGAGCATCGTCCTGATACGCCAAAGTTGCAGGTTCGATCCCCAGTCAGGACACATACGGCAACCAAAGAATGAATGCATCGATAAGTGGAACAACAAATGCATGTCTCTCTCTCTCAAATGTATAGACAATAATAAATCAATAAAAAATAAGTCAAAGAAATAATAAACAATAAGAAATAATGCTGATGCAGGACTATTATTTTATCTACAAACCTT